GTAAACCGGTCAATTGCAACTCTCTATTAAAGTGTTTCGCGGCCGAAGCCCAACAATACAACATGTAAGCATCTTATTGCTTGTGTCTCAGAAGACATTGAAGAAAAGAAAAAGAATTGACAAAAAAAGATCGCCACTACCTTCGGAACTTCAACTCGAAGGCAATTTCCTCGGATTACGTAATACCTACGTCATTGTCGCGATCACACATTTTAAAAGATGACGCACTAGACTGCTGCAGGTTTTACTTGAGTTGCTCGTTAAAAAGTTATTGTGTTAAATGCACCCTACATGGATCCAAGTATATTTACAAGTTTGTATTTTTTCCAGCCATTTAAATGTTGTGCAGTGAGAGAGTAACATAAACTTACAAAATGAGAAAATTGATCAAAGCTTTTCTAATTCCTACTAAAAAAAAACATAGCCACCGCCCCATTCTCTCTCTCTCTCTCTCTCTCTCCATTTCATCCATTTGGCACAATCGTTATTTGATAGCACAACAAATTAAATTTCTTCACCTATTTCAAAACAATCAATGTGTTAAGACGGACCATGATGAAAACGAGTATTTCTTAAGGAGGCCTTATGTTTGCTGCTGCCTTACCTTTGTTAAAGTATAGTCTTAGCTTTGTGTGAAGAGAGTAGGGCCATGTAGGTTGTAAAGTAAGAACATTGGATTTTTTTCATACCAAATGTCAACTCCGTGTACAGAATCTATAAGCGTATAACATTCATCAATATTTGAAGCCTCGACCTGAAGATGAAATGAAGTTCGTTGGTAGCTTAGCAACCGCATGACTTCGCCTTCAAATTGTCCCCTTGGACTGGTTGCGCACTGCCTAATGTACACACTAATGCGATGACATTCATCAATATTTAATACTGACTCTAGAGTTATCACGCTACTTCGGCAAAGCAATATCCAATGCAAAATAAGAGCCATGAGAAATCACTCACCAGTTTTCACGAATTCCACACTGGACGGTTCATCTCCCGCTTCCCCTGAGCTATGGCGCGGCAGCTTGCCGAGTTCCGATGGCCGTCTGGGGACTGCATCCAGCGCCGCCAATGTGGACGACATTGTGAAATGATTATCGTCTTAAATACTCTTTTATCGTTCTGTTTCCAAAAATGGGTGCAAATGTCGAGTATTGAATTTCCGGTTGGGGGTTTGGTTAAAATCCTTTCCAATAGCGATGCAATATCACTTTGTTTCCAGTCACGCAACGCGGTGTATACTGCCTCTACCAGCAGTACTTCTACGTCTACCACAGCAAGAGCGAGTACCGAATGCACACGCACGTACACACACGCACGCGTTCACGGATAGCTAACTGGCGCCTATTTTTTACCTCCATTCGAAGCAAATGCACAACTCGCATTGTATTATCGTCTGCGCGTAACGGGCACCAGGAAATAGAGGAGCACCCATGCTCATAACACAGCGGCTGTCGGTACCAACACCAATTTTTTTAGAGGTGGTGCTACTTCGGAGTGGGGTCGTTATTGTTAAGGGTCGGGGTGTTCCGCTAAAACATGTCAACTCTTTCGTATGGTCATCGCTCTTTTTTCAGAAGCTTCTGCTGAACTTTGGAACATACTACCTTTAAATGTCGAAAACTGTCAAACTGTTAACCAATTCAAAACTTGTCTTAAGACACATTTATTCAAAATTGCTTTTAATGATTAACTAACTTTGTTCACATTGATGTGTATTTCATATGTATTGCATTTTGTAGGTTTATTTGCCCTTTTTGTATTGTTTAATATGTAATTGTTTATCAGTCTATTTGATTTGTTTAGCGCTTAGAGACTTCGGTGGTAATATAACCGCCTTATAAGTAACGTTTTTGTTATTGGTATTATTATAACATTTTCATCCTTTGGCCTGGCATTGCAAATTCGAAAATAAAAAAAACAATGCACACGATAGAACTACTTTCGAAAATTAAGTAAGGGGGCAATTTTACTATCATATCATATTTTCCCATGTCCGGATCACGTAATACGTCTTTGTAATGTTCCCATATTTGAAAAGGTGACGTATATGACCACTGAAATTACCTTGGGATAAATTTTAGTTAAAGTTGTTTTGATGGCGTTACTGTTTTGATTCGCAAATTAAAGGGAAAGTCCTCCCTGATATTAAGTTTAACTTAAAATACATAACTGTCATATTCTGATCAGAGTTCGATCAAACTTTCACTGACCTGTTTGCACTCATGTTGGTCTGCTTCTATTGAAACTAAATTGATGTCGGATAGACTTCCCTTTAATGAAACTCGAAATTGGTTACGCTTCCCCCCCCCCCCTTCCTCCACTCTCAAAAAGAAAATAGTCTAGTATGAGCGTTAAAACGAAAATTGCATTTCTTTCTTAATTCTAGGATTGCATTTAACAATCCTAAATCGCATATATCGTCTAAATCTATTCCAACTTAAATGTTTGCATATCAATATATATTCTTTTAATCTGTCTTTATATGAGAAAATAATGTACCCTTCTCAAATTTCCATCGTCTCAAGTGGTTTTATTTCAAATAATATTTTCCTTAAAAACATACCCCCTTCCCCCTTGCCTTGTTTTTTCACGGTAGGGGGTCTACTACCCCTCTTCCTGATTAAAAGTAGCGTTTCTTATTATTTGTAAATTCTCGTCATACTTCCTAAAGATAGTTTGCTCATTTTTATGACAAATTTGTTCTTAGCCAGTAAAATGTCACGACTTCAGTACTTATAACAGTTGTTACGTTTTATTGATAACAAGTTTTATGAAAGAGGGGCCAGAATTGTATGAAAAGTAGCACTGGAGATGTTTAAAGGAAATTACATTTTACGTTCAGGAAACTCTTAACATTAATGAAAGAAAGCAAATAAACTAGAGAAGCGGATTGGTGAAAGATTAACGAAATTGGACAAACGATGAGATGGGGATGGCTATTCTTATCATTGTTCTGTAATTCAAAGTTTCGCCAAACAGATAACACATGCACCCTCCGAGCAAAATACATCGATCTTTATTATCAACCCTCCATCGTCATCCCCAACACACTCTCACATGCAAGCACGCACGCACCAGTAGGCACACACCTCCGTTGTATCGGGGTACGTAACAGCTGTGTTAATGGACGCTAGATGGCGACACTGTAAAACAGGCCTTCTCAACTGGCGGCGCGCGCGCCACTTGTGGCGCTTGCTGTCAGTCGGAGTGGCGCGCGGCTGTTCCAAAAAAATAATATTTAAAAAATATTTAAAAAAGAGAAAGAAAAAAAAGAAAGACAAACAAATATATATATATTTTTAAAATTGAAGAACTCAGCAAAATCAAAAAGTCGCATTTGAAGTTGAGCCCAAAATGTAAGCAAGCCATTTTGTTTGTTTGATTTTCACTTGATTTTGACATTTTTCGTATTTATTGCACCAAAAAGATTAAGTTCCAACGTAGATTTTAGCCAGGAATTGTACTAATCATTTCACACCAATATGAAATTATGATTGATGTTTTATGGAACAAAAAGGTGTTTAAAATGCCACATCTGGGCCTTTAAAAAGCCCTAAAATCCACTAGCTTTCGGGGCTTCACCCCTGGACCCCACGCTGTATCGGCTAGGTCACTAGGCTCTCTCGCAACACAGTCGCAAAACATACAGGTTGGCACTTCAACCTCAATAAATTGTTGTTTTTTTGCACTTCTAATAAGCTAGTTGAGAAGGCCTGCTGTAAAACCTTGAAAAGTATATGAGAACCCAGTCCACATTGATACAAAGGGGGAAGGAAACTCAGTGTTTAAAATATCCACCCCTCCCTCCAATAAAATATGCATTCAAAAAGGTAACACACTCATCAATGTTATGGAACTAAATACTCACAACAGTCATTCACAAAACTGCCAACATAATCACAAATCAAATTCATTTTTGTTTTCATTATAGTGCATTTGCATAAATCACTCTTTATATTGAAAAATAACATGTCTCATACACATTTTGTATGCAAACTATTACATTGTACCACATGTTTCAATACAAAAATGAGCAATAAACCTACTATGGTGTAAACTATGTGTATACAACTACTATGTACTATCAGGTTCAAGGGAAAAAATAGTTTGAGGCAGCATACAGCAATAAGGCCATCATTTCATTATATATTCCATTATATATTGAAACATTTCATACAGAATTTTTAAGAATACATGTATATCAGTACCAGTAGCTGAGTAGCTCTCTTAAATTCATTTGACAACACACATGTAATCAATAATTTTCCTACACATGCATGTAATAAATGTACCCTTTCATGACTTTTAACCTTTACATAAAGTCGAACTCAATTGCACCCCTTACTCAAAGGTATATATCTAGGAGTCAGTGACACAAAGACGTAACTCCATTTTAAGAAAGTGGTCTATGTGTCACTGAGCACTTGGGCCTTAAGTTAAGTCTATGATTCACTAGCCTTTGACTTCAATGGGGTATTGGGTGGAGTTAAGTCTTTGTGTTTCCTGGAAAGCCCACATTTTTCTGAACATTTTGATATCATATACTCATGTTGGCAAAATATGGAGTTACATCTTTGTGTCACTAAACCCTCAATATAAATGTAATACATTTTATAATACCAAATCATGCTCTGAGTCTGACTATACTCTGATATGAATTTCTGCATTGCCATTGACAATACAAAACACACAGGTGGTGTCATATATTCTATGAATGGTGCCCAATCACACCTTTGTGCTGACATGTCCGGCAGGTGCTTTATCAAAACCCAAGGATGTGATACCATTCTTTCCCATCTCACCTTTGCTCAATATGTAAATTTTAACATCTGAATAGAAAACAAACAAGCTGCTGTTTCCCTTTTTTCCCCTCTCATTTAAATCATCTACACACCATTGAAAGTCAATTGTTTCCTTAATTCATTTAACCATTTTTTCCACAAGAAATTCATAGATTCAAATTCATAAAGGAGATAATACCCTTGTTAATGCCCATTCTGTCTCTTACTTAAAGAATATGCCACATTCAGATATTAAATACAGTACTATACCAGTTGATGCATGATAACAAATGATAAACATTGTCATAATAATAATAGCTCGTTCTTATAATAAACTAGACCATCAGCCTAAGGTCTGGGCAGACATGGACGATAATGATCAAAGTTAACGTGCATAATATTAATGACAAAAGTGGTTACATCTACACGATACAATTCTTGGGGCTTCAGTCAATAGACCATTTTTGTAATGTAACCAAATTTAATATGTTAGTCTTTGTAAAGTGCCTTGTTACAAGTTATTTCATTAAACTGTACCGGTCAGAATCCAAAATGCATATGTTACGTGTTGTTAACTAGGAAAAGCCATAATGTTAGTCCTAAATAGCACCAAATAATGTCTTCAACTTGCATTCTGACTATTCAAATACAATGATTTGTTACAAATAAAGGAAATAATTTGTATCGAGGCACTACTCAGAGATGTATGCATTAGATTTGGTGACATTACAAAAATTGTAGACTAGTATAAAGCAATAAGCATGGTGGAAACAACCCATTATATTTCTGAACCAATATCAAATTAAAGGAGCGATTCTATGGGTCCTCCTACTACATTATTTTTGAGGTCCATCTCCAAATGACTTGTCATGTGATTCTAACGAGACAATTGCATCGTTCAAGAATCAAAAAGCTCATTGGCATAAATCCATAATGGCCGATCTACAATAACATTTTCAAATTTCATTTTTCCGTGAACAACGGGGTAACGATTTGGAAACAATTGATCATTATCGTTTGGGACGGACCAGCTATTAGGCGACAGCCATACCAGGATACAGTATGATATTCTTGTAATAAAAAGATGTCGGTCACATAATTGAGTGGTTCAACGGGTCAAAACATGTTTTGGTAATATATATCTTCCAATACACTTTCTATATGCAGTACAAACAAACAGTGAGGCTTTTGAATATTATATACTGTTTGGTTGATAAAGGCCTGAACTGAATAGATCATTTTCGTAATGCAATCAAATTTAACACACACATCTTTTTACAAATTATTTCATACACCTGTTATGAACAGTTGTATTTCGATAGTCAAAATGTGGATTTCATTCATTTCATACACTAATTGTTGCTGTTTAGGACTAAAATTATGGCTTGTCTGTCCTCGCAACAAGTTATATAATGCATTTTTTTGTTAAATGAGACTGTTTAAATACAATTATTCGTCGTAGGTGAATTACATAATTTGTAACGAGGCACTAAACAAAGATTTGTGTATTAAATGTCATTACATTACAAAAATGGCCTAATAAAACAAGAAAATATCTTTGGTTTTGACAAGAGGCAACAAGTGACAGAACTTGTTTTGGCACAAGTCACCACAACTGATAGGATGATAATCATGAAAAGGGTCTATCTATCTATCTATCTATCAGATAGATAGATAGATAGACCCTACACAGCTAATAGCTAGTACTACACAAATAGCTATTTCACAGACAAATGCAACTCTAGACATAAAATCTTCATTCTACATCCCCTTTTTTTTAGTTAAACCTAACCCTGAGTCAAAGATCACTTTTAACAAAGGGAAAATTTAGACATCAGACTATCCTCCTTCGTTAAGCCCTGAATCCGGTTTAAATTGATTTGAGCGAAAGTGACACTCACAACTGTAATTGTGTCATTTTCATAAAGAATATTAGACAACAATACATATATTATACCATGTGGACTATTACAAAAAAGACAAAATACACAAAAGTACTTTTTCCCCAATTGCCATTGAAATGTAAACAACAAAAATACCATGTAACAAGCTTTATAAACCAAAAGTGTAACACCATACTGTATTTATCTAAGGTATTCTCATGAATGTTTGATATTTTTTATCTTTTAATAGACCTGTGTACTAAATGTATGCATGCTTCTCTCCAAACCCACTGGGCCCCAGCTTTTTCATTCATATCCTAAGCAAAATGGCATCTCCATAGATGGAATTCACTTAACATACATTAGTTGTTGCTATGCCAGACAAGTTTCTGACAAACCTTTTAGTCGTTAATAGAAATATGGTTCAAATAGTGTGCATAAAATTAGTCAACAGGTCTATTAATGGAAAGATAAGAGAGCATCGAGGTTGCGTGCATATTAGCAATTCCCTCAATTAATAATAAATCATGCAACACAATATACGTTACTGCTGTTGAGTCCTTAAACAAGAAATAATTGTAATAATATTCCATTCTCACATTACAGTAAAACATCTCTTTGCACTTCTAAAAGACTTTCAATATAATTGCCCTAGCAAATGTAGTGCCAAGTGCATTCAAGGAATAACTCATACCAGGTGCCACTCACCTTTGTTGAGTGTAGCAACTGTAGATTAGTGTCTTGCCAAAGAACGTTAGTGTTGCGGCAGGGATTTGAACCCAGAACCTTGTGGTTCACAGTTCAGAGACTTATAGACTAGACCACAAAACTTATACATACAGTAATCATATCAAAGTGAAATACAGTGAAAAGAGTAACTAACGTTGATAAAATAATCATATTTGTGAAAAAGAAATAAGAAGTTAACATACATCTATTACAGCACAATTTAAACACCAATGAATACAATGAACACTTAAAGCTTATCTGCCATAGTTTACAGGAGGGATTAAACCGCCCTACAAGGTCACTGGACAGGTGGTTATCTCATCAACTCAGCTCTCAGTTAACATAAGAAAAAGAGGATCATGGGGGATCAATGGTCACCGATTAAGCATTGTTTGATATATAGAGGGCGTAAGTAGCTACAAGTAGTGCAGTGGGCCTTTAAATCCATCATAGTAAATAAAAATCTAAAATAAGAGTTACGTACATGTACAGGCAACAACAAAAACTCATTCAGAATAAATGCATTTGCAGCATGACATTAACGTTTCCTTCTAGATATGAAAGATTAATTAAAATATAATTGTGATTGTCTCACTAAAAACGTAATCACGATATGCAGCATTCGACTATGGCCACAGACAGGGGCAATTATTCAACCAGGGGAAAAATTTGCAAAAATAGTAGAATCCGAAATGAATCAAAACCAGGGCTCGACATTAATAGGTGCCCAGGAAACATGGGTGCCGCAAATCAAAATCCCATCCCCACAATTTCAGAATTTCTACATAGGGCTCAACACATATTGGCCCAGAAATTTCAGTCCATGGGAGTGTTTCACAAAGACTAAGATTGATTTAAAGTTGGACTTGACTATGGCAAGCCCGTTTATGCCACTGTTTGCTCTCACCATTTACTGGCAATTATCTCTCAAGGGAATTACATCTCATGGTCACAAATCTACCGAATTTACATTCATTGATAATTCATTATTGAAGGACAAAATATTATGTAAATATCATAATGGTGAGAGCAAACATTGGTATGAACGGCCTGCCATAGTTAAGTCCAACTTAAAGTCAATCTTAGTCTTTGTGAAACACCCCCCTGACTAACAACAACAAATTAGCCTGGAGCCCTGTCACTATCAACTTGGAGGTGAACTACCGATTAGGGTCCTGTTTCATTAAACTTGTTATCAATAACAAATACTACATTTCTACGACTTGTTTGCTCTCGGCCAATCAAATGCCACCATTTCAGTAGCTATTGGTAACAGGGCCCAGAAGTTTCAACATCTTCACAGCAATTGGGGATAACTAAATTTACATAAACTACAAGTGGCAAGAAAATAAACAGGTATATACAGATAATACCCTCTATATTAAAGTAAGCGCATACGTTGGGTACACATCTATTACATTTGAATGTCTACAAAATTGTCCCAGTACAATACAGAATAAAAGGAAAATGAATACAAAATGGAACAAAATGAAGCTTAACAAATTTAGCTGTCTACCTTTACTTTAACATGTTGGCTACAGAATTCTCTAATCCCTAATTGGATTCCTACAGGAAATACCCAGTTCAAGTAGGTAACAGATTAAAATTTACATTTTTTTTCCTTTTTAGCAGAACTTCTTCCACAATTCAGTACATTATTTGCTTAGTATAAATGTTTCTATCAAACGTGAGTAGTAACAATTGAAACACAAGTACTTTCTGGTACATCCCTAAAATCAGGGATATAACAGTCAAACCACACTAAACACGTGTGTTTTGTATATTTTTTGTCTAGAATAGGTGTATTTAGGTTTATCTTGCAAGTATGCAGAGACACAATCTCCTTTCTTCTGTTCTAAGGCACATGTTTTTATCAACAACAAAGAAAGATCCACATGCATGATTCTTTGTTGTACCCATCGTTGATAGGAACAATTGGTTTCTAAAACAAAATAGCATCTAAAAGCACACACAGCCTATATAACATTATATAATGTAACGTTTTTTACAGCTCATAGAGGCATTTCATGAAAATAAAAGAGAAATAAGTGTCAGCAACATGAAAATATTTATTTGAAAAAGCAATAAATAAAGAGCATACCTTGTGAATATAGGATACTAAAAGGCTCATTCATGAACAATACTTGGGTAGCTTTAACCAGTTGACTACTAAATTGTATAGTTCCCATAGGCTTAACACAGGACCACCAGGTTCCCGTAAGCAAAGGGTTAATAGTGAAATTTAGTGGCAGGAAAAGACGCGTCCGCAATGCAAAATGCATAATTGTTGAAAATCATAATTTTAATGATCTAACAGACGTAGAACTACATCACTAGGATATATAGCTGGTAAATGCATGTACAGTCTTGACAAGGCTTATTGCTAACTAAACTTTCATGAGAGTTTAACATGTCAAGAAGAGCTGTTAATTAACAAACATCACTAATAATTATGCACATTGCATTCCAAATGCTTCAATTGTGAAACAAACTGAGCAACCTTTTAATTCAAAAGTGGTATTTTGGCAGTATTCATCGGACCGATATTTTTCTGCTTTTGATTTTGTTGTAGCAGTGTGATTTACTTATTTAAATAGTATTTTCTGAAAACTTTGTTGTGGTTTTGTGGCGCAGGGTCACAAAAAGCTACCCAAAGCTTACCAAATTCAGGTTGCTTTCTTAAAAGATATATTAGTTATGGTCAGGTAAATTTCACTGGGAAAAAAACCCAAAACATCCTGATTTTTCCCGTAATAATCTATTCCAGTAACATCTATTGCGAAAGATCAAGTGTAATGAAACCGATATATTCTTGAATTTTCTAAATCTACTGAAAGATGGACTGTTTGTTGCAAGCTTTTTATCCTCAACTCTTTAATATTAGAGTTAAATCATTTGAAGCATTGCCACATAATATTTAAATTACATGTACTGACTGAAGAATAACATAATAAATAACCAGTAAATAAGAGTGAGCTACATGTTAACTATGCAATTAAACTAGTTTGTCAGCAGAAAATAGTACTGTTTTAGAAGTAAAGATACATCTGTTATGAATCTGATGAATACGAATTTGAAATATCTACTGTTCAATTGGCTTGTACCACAAGCTAGTACTTTGTAACTCAACTACGTGTACTTGAATGAAGAAATAAAAAGATACAGATCTTATATGTCATCTAACTTAAAAGTATCCCCCCCCCCCCAAAAAAAAGGAACAAGACAGTACTTCCCCCATAAAACAAATCTCTCAAAAAGCAATAGAACTTTGGGAGGTGTTCAGGAGTTAGTACTTTGCAACTCAACTACGTGTATTTGAATGAATAACTGAGAAGATACAGAACTCACATGTCATCTACCTCAAAGATATCCCCCATCTCAAGGATATCCCCCAAATCATCAACAGGAGATTCCTAACCACATGAAACAAATCTCTAACACAGAAATAAAATTCAGGAATTTGTTGTGGTCGTGTCTCTATTGTACTTGGTACATTACCAAAAGAATAAAGTGACTGTTGAATGCATTAAAAGTACATGTAGATACTAGAACTTGGTAAAACACATAGGCCGTAAACCTGAACCCGGACATCTGAAACCTAATCACAATCAAACCTCCATATTTTAAGAAATAAGATCTGAAAAAAATTGCAGGAGGAAACGTTGGATCACCAGATCTTGTACGACCACACTTGGATATAAGAATGAACTTGAGGTATTCCACATCCTGAGCTATTTATTTTGATCGTCTACTCAAATGCAGCTTGTGTGTGTATGTGTGTGCAATTGGGTTTTGACAGACATATATCAGTCAGATATGACTATTTACGTCTGGGGATCGACCTTCAATGTCACCATCCAAAAACTGTGACTCAGTTTCGAACCAGGGTCTGCCTGAGCCAGTTTGCAGGTAAAGACAGAGAGCTGACCAAGTGAACGTACCGCTAGACCAACTCACATCTCCCTTGAAGCAAAAGTGATGCATCAATCATCTCAGATGTTGCTGCAAGTCAGAATGACTTATGATGAACTCTATGACTTCTTTTAACAGCAAACTATTGACTGTAGCTCTCTTCACAGGTTCACGTACGAGGTATTCAACTTTTTTTTGTGTTGACAACTTCATGTAACAAAAGCAGTCATTACTCGCTCATTTTACTGGGCAGTTTCATCAGACATTGTGATACATGTACGCACTTCTGTCTGATTGGTGCCTTAGCAGTTCGAAACAAGTCAGACCTGTGCTACCACTGATGCCTAATGCATTATGGAGCTGTCTTCATACATAGTAGAATCCAGTTTGTTGGCCATTTTCATACACATACTAATATGAACGTATTGTATAGCTTTTGTAGAACGTGATGCCCTGACAAGATGAAACCTACAAGTGTTTTCTTGCATGGCTACACATTGCGATTCTGCTGGCACTGCGGAAGCCACACACATTTCAATCATGAGGTTTGTCAATACATTTAGGACAGCAGATTTCTGGCAGCTCTCCTCCTTTTGGCAGCTTGATAGCGCTCCGTTGCTGCCGTATTGGTTGTTGTAGCCACAGGTCGCCTCCAATTACTCTCTAAACAACAACGTATTACCATGAAAATTCATGATCAGATTACACACAAATGTGCTAACCAACACGATACAAGTCATGAATATTCAAATCACCCTTTTCTAAAATGAAGTTACTATTCAGGGACCTGTATTAACATCAAATTCATGATTAATCGTATCTACCAACAAATTAATGCTTCAATCAAGCGCAACTTGACAATGAACAGTAAACAATTAATTTTACATTAGAGATAGATACAGTGCATGGTACGATACAATGAATTATAGCAATACTGAAGATACAGTTCGATCTTACGACTGAATGTAAGATGACTTATATGACATCATAGCCATGAATTTTCAAGGGCACCTCTGTACTGTTGAGTTGTACAAACCTTGGTGAAGAGCTATAACATGATGGGACAATTCCAACCATGATGCAGAGTAGTAGCTTTACAATGTATGCGTCAAGCTCTTTAATCTGTTGAACGTTATCCAATAATAAGCTTCGATCCTATCTCTTTACCGTTGAGTCGTACAAACTGTGATGAAGAGAGTTCTATAACTTGATAGGACGATTCATATCTAGAAGATCAGGCGATTCCATCATCACGCGGAGTAGAAGCTTCTCAATGTAAGCCTCGAGCTCTTTAACCTGTTGAATGTTATCGGATAATATAGATTCCTGCTGCTGTACTAGTTGTACGAGTTGCTGTTGATAATGAACAGAAAGAAGATACAGATTTATTACTTCATATTTTTTGTTGAACTGGTTTATTGATTAACCCTACGTTAACTGGGATGGGAGGTCAATTTGACCCCCCCCCCCCCCCCCCCCGTAGAAATTTGTGACTTCTTCAAAACCGCGCCATATATAAAATTTTCCTTTCATGACTTTTTTCTTTTGAGTCTTACGCATCTTTTAAAAAAAAAAATTCAAAAATTGGACGTATAGTTACAAAGTCACGTGACCTTTTGTCTTCGCATGTCAGCCCAAAAATCGCTCATTTTTTGTGATTTGTGTACAAAACATATGGAAATGTCATTTTTCCTAAAAAAGATAAAACATTGGTTATTTAGTCTTGTTTAAAGTTTAGGTGTTTGTTTTGCGGTCAAAATAGTTGAATTGTAGTTAAGAATGAAATAAAACAACAACAACAAAAAAAAAGAAATACATAAGTTAAAAAAAAACAATGAAATACATAAGAAATTATCAAAACAAGAGATAACATAAGGAATAACCTGGCTCCTCCAACTTTTTTGTGTTGTATTATTATTCCAAATGGTCTAACAAATATATGTAGTGAAAAAGAATGCTTAAATATGAATAATGTATAATTTATAGAGAAAAATGTGAATTTTATGACCTTATTTGCATAAATTACCATAAATATGCAAATAAGTGAATTTTCAAAAAACTGAAATTGCCATAGTATTCTATACACTTCACTTGACATGTATGCAAATGTTTGCGGCGATCGACTGTGAAACGTTTGTGATCTTGGGGGGGGGGGGGGGTCAAATTGACCCCCCCCCCCCCCCCTCCCGTAAAAACCTGGTCTGAAATAGCCCAGTTAAATAGGGTTAAAAAGCATTTATTCAAAATGGCAAAATATTTTTAAAATACATCAAAATGCAATACATTCAAAATTGGTTTGATGAAATACAGTACGGTAATACATTTTGATGCATCCAAAACCTCACAGCAGACGAGAATACTGATGTGCTACATGATTAACCTTTTCCAATCGCTGCCACACATTTTAATATTGAGCGTAAGTCTATGGCTCATCGTATATTCATCAAACTTAAAGATAAGGTTGAGTTCTGGTCATGCGATTGCATTGTGAAAGAAACGGTGTGAAATCAATCAGAAAAGATTGATCATCTAGCATATAAATATTGGTGTGTACTGCAAGGTTCTGGATCATCAAAATGATAAGAAATTTGGTCCAATCTTGGTATTAAGTTACAAGCACTATAAACAGAAAGATGTATAAGGGACTACACAAACATGTGGCATAAAAATCGGTTCCAATTTGTATGATGTTACATGCGTTAATTAGAATATTGAAACATTTGAAAACCATGCTTTTCAGGAAATATTCTTTGTCTGATGTTCTTCCAAACTTGCATACTAACAATGATAACGCTCACAAATTATTGTTCACCTCTTCCCAGAACTCAACCTTCTCTTGAAGATCAATCATAATTACTCTTTATACGCTGCCCTGGATATGTAAAAGCTGGCACTGACCTGTTTTGAAAGTGTATCGTACTTGCTAGTCGAGCTGTGCTTCCTATGTTTCTCCTTGCTCTCTTGAGTCATCTTCCGAAGGTCAGGGGTCGTGCCACCATTGTTGACTTGACTTAACTCTTCCACAGTGAAACAAGCACTCGATGCTTTCTTGTGTCGGTTCTCTCTTCTGACATTCTCTGTATTAAAAGATAAACACAAAATACAGTAAAACCTCTACAATAAGACCACTCAAGAGAAACATGACAAGTGGCCTTTATAGGCAGGTGGTCATTACATATTTGCTAAAGGTTTCAATGAGGTGTCGTGGATGAGTGAATACGTCGCCGGACTGTCAATCACAAGGTCCGCGGTTCGAGTCCTTTGGCAAGATATTGATCTACATTTGCCACTCTCCACCCAGGTGTTAAATGGGTACCAGTAGGAAGAAATTCCTTAAAATGCTGTGAGCGTCAAAATCGACAGCCTAGCATAGCCGGGTAATGTTGGAGCGCCTTGAGGACCTTGCAAGGTTGATACTTTATATAAGAATCCAATATTATTATCATTATTTCATATTCAAGGGAAACCAAAATTGTGGTCTTAATGTACAGGTGGTCGCTAAAGCAGGTATGACTGACACAGTCTAACCTGTCTACTAAGGCCACCCAGGGGAAACAGAAAAACTAGCCACCGTAGACAGGTGGCCTTCCTAGACAGGTTCTACAACATACATATCTTCCCAAGGGAGACAAATTACATGGCCACTTTAGACAGGTGGCCTTTATAGAGAGTTTGCCACTGAGACATGTTTGACTGTAGATGAATAGCATAGCATTGTTACTCTACAAGATTCTCCTGTTAATATGTAATAGTGCATGTATACATCATCATTGTATAGCATCAGTTTTTCCAATGCAGTAGGGATGGACGATTCATTTTCCTTAATCATTTGACAAAGCATCATAACATTTCCCAGGCTTTAGCCGAGCTCCCAGTAAAAAATGTGAGCATTCAAGAAATTTCTTTCCACAGGGTACCACGTTAAAAAATGTAATAATGTTAATATGTGATGAGCGTATCGGTCTGAAAATAGTGGGTTATTTGGCAAAGTCAAGATGATGAAGACAGGCATTTTAGGTATGGGAAACGTAAGATAATAACTTTTCCATATGGAGTGATTAGTGAAGAAACTGCAGAGCATTACAAAGGGCATGTTGGTCAAAAAACTGAAGGCTAAACCTTGTGATTGACAACACATGTTATTTGGTTAAACCCATGAATGGTGTCAAATTCCCCATGAGAGCCCACTACTATGCTTCTTTAAAGCCTGCCTGTACTAGTTTGGCCAGGAGGAATTAGAGCACCCAGCGTGGTCACTGACAGGTGGCTTTCTCATCAACTCAGCTCTCAATCAATATAAGAAAAAGAGGATCATGGGAGACCGACAGGCACCGCTTGGGCATTGTTTTTTATATAGAGGGAGCAAGTTGAAGTAGCTACAAGAATCACAGTGGGGCTGTAACATGAAAACTGGGGGGTGTTTCACAAAACTTGTCATCAGTGACAAATGACAGTCTTTGTTATAAGCTACTGAAATCCTTGCTTCTGATTGGTTATCAGCAGATTCGTCACTGAATTTTGTAATATGTCATTGAAAAAAGGCTTTATGAAACAGCGCCCTGATGGCTACACTACATACTTCCTCTTGGCAGTGTGGCAAGACTGGAGATATCTCCTTGCTCTCTCTCCTTCTTATCCTTCAGCAGACTCTCCTCAGACACGGCTCGGTGGAGGGCCGTCGGAGGGGCGAGCAGCGAACCCCCTAAACTAGACACGCCCAGATGAATACCGGGGTTGCGGAACCCATCTGTTTCGTCTGGAGCTGAATTGCCATGGTCATAATGATGCCCATGTTCGTGGATTGGTGTAGGAGGCAAAGAGGAGGACATGTAGCGTAGGTCAGGTGTGCTTTTACCTATCTTGTCGAGATGCTCTTTGCTCTGAGGAAATAAAATGAAAATTTAAAACATTTATATAGATTTAACTGGCCATGACAGAGATACATAATGACCGAGTCTAAGTTCCCTGATGCTAGCTGGATGGGACCGATCCATATCAGGCTAACCATTGGGTGCAATTCGTGTACACAAAGCCAATGGCAAAACCCAGAAGAGTGAAAGTATCAGGGATTATATACCTCACTTAAGAAATCCAGCCATCTGATTGGTTGAAATTTTAGCCATTCCCGTAAAGAAACGGAAAATGCCAAAACCAAAATAATCCAAGAGTAAATCCTGGCAAAATTCCAGTTACCAGCAAAATAATAAAATCTTGCTGCGATACCCATTGGTTTACGTGTTAAAATGTTCTTTGAGCGAGCGCCGACACCATGCAGTGTTTTTTGTCTGCGATTCCCAACTAAATAAAAATTTCAGTCATTTTTCATTGGTGATAAACAGACAGCTTCTCAGATTTGCTGTGATGTTTTAACCAATCTTTACTCGATAAAAGGATAAGGTAAGAATTCTTGGTAGATTTTTGTTTGAAATTGGCATATAAAAGGGAAATATCAACTGATTTAATACTCAAAAACTGGCTGTTTCTATACTGGCTCTCGGTAAATTTGCCTCCGCTGCTATCACCCTGAGGTGCACCACCCACCCAGGCACGCCTCGGGGTGATAGCAGCGGAGGCAAATTTACCTTGAGCGTATAAAAACAGCCAGTCCTCTAGTAGCAGTCAATATCTCTATAATATTGCCTGCTAGTTTGCAGACCAGGCACAACATGCATTTTTATTTGTGTGTAGATAATAATAATAATTGATGAATAATATGTAAGCTTTCAGCAAATTTGAATGTGTCTGAAGACATATATTGTGCAAATTGAATTATCTAGTGAAGTAGAGAGGACAAAATAAATTCAAGCATTTAAAGCTTATCTGCCGTAGTTTACAGGAGGGATTAGACTGCCCTGCACGGTCACTGGACAGGTGGTTATCTCATCAACTCAGCTCTCAGTAAACATAAGAAAAAGAGGATCATGGGGGACCAATGGTCACCGATTAGGCATTGTTTGTTATATAGAGGGCGCAAGTAGCTACAAGTAGTGCAGTGGGCCTTTAAGTATATTTAGAGGGGATACAACAACACATTTATAAAACACTGTTGGACAACATGTAAAAACTGAAAAGAGAAATGGAAAGAGTGCATTTAAATAGAACAGAGACTGAGAAAAGGTAGATGACATAATAATGAAAGCCCCGTCACAGATGAAAAATCAATTATTAACCGTATCAGACATCTGAGCAGGGCAATTTTTAAATGTTATTGCCCTCAAGGTTTGATGGATAAGTCAACAAAATTACAATAAGTTAGTCCGCTCAGAAAAGTCAATGGGATTTTGTGTGTAATTTGGCGGGCAATATAGGTTATACAGTAAACCAATGCGCAAATATTTTAGCCCGCTCAGAACAGTCAATGGGATTTGTGTGTAATTTGGCGGGCAATATAGGTTATACAGCAAGTCAATGGACAAATATTTTAGCCCGCTCTGAAAAGTCAATGGCAAAATGCGTGTTAAACTAGTGAGCAATAATATAGTGCCAGTTGTAATTTACATCGCGCATCAGCTATTGTAATTTACATCGCGCATCGTGTATAAGAAAATGCGCACTTTGCGTGAACTCCATTGTGACGTAACAATCACACCCTAGGCAAACTGTTTGCAGTGTATCGAAAATCTGTTAAAACACTGGATGAACAGTGCTGGTTTGACAATGTTTTTGCAACTTCTAATGTTAGGAAACCCTGTGTAGCCTACATAATTTAAGAGTATAAGATAGTAAGAATTTCTTGTTTGCTCTAGATGTCTGATGTGGTTAATAATAGTAATATTGACTGCCTAATTCAGGGCAATACGACATATATCACCCTCACCTTCAGTTCGGGCGATATATGTCGTATTGCCCAGAAGGCAGTCAATATTACTTAATTATTACACCCTTCTTGCTCTTGGCAAACAGAATATTGAACAAAGAAGGAACAGAAAAAAAGACAGTCAAGCAGCACAAAAGATAATTCACTCACCAATGCTTTTGAGATGTTACCCAATGCTGTTTTAACATTTCTTCCGATTCCCCCCTTGCCCCTTGCTGAGCCGGTCAACCCTCCTGGCCGAAACCTGTTAGAGGGAGGGGGCTTCTGAATGGGCGGGGTAGGGGGCTGTGATCGGAGATCCCTTGCCTGGTCGACGACGTCGGGTGTCGAGTATCGATGATGGTGCGTGGTACGGAAGTCATCACTCATAGAAGAAGCGACAGATTGAGAGTCATCTGAATAGAAGGCCTATGTGTGGGACAAAGCAGAAAGCACGATGTTATATACCACATAGCACGAACCTTGCATTGCGATTGGGCTAAATGAGGTCACATGACGAATACGAGATTGCATATCTTGGTGGTAATAGTGATAGTCAAAACTATTGCATATGTGATAGTCTGTTTTCAGTGATGCCAAATAGACTGACATGCAAGGAGCTAATGGGTCATCATTTTGCAAAATATCATTGTCAGATATGCGGAGGCGATTGAAACATAGGTACAATGTAAATGTGAAGAGTTCATGTGCAACAATGCTTAAGCAGATGACTAGTGCATAGAAGCAGCTCACTACTGCATGGTAAATGGCAAGTAGCACGGTGCACTATCTTCGCGGGGTGAAGGCGAAATCACCTTGGTGATAATATTATTATCCATTTCAGGTGTTGATTACCTCAAAAAAATCCTTTTATACACCAGTATAGATTTATCATGCACTGGAAACATTTAAAATAATCTTGAAGCCTTTGGTAACTGTATATCTGACTGACATGAGCGCTATACAATAACCCAATATTATTATTATTACTATTATTATAATCTGGGACAGGGTGATTATTTGGGTGTGGCATATTTAAAGAGTTATATGCTACCTTCCCTGTGAGAGTTTTGAATGTGATGCTTACCGGGTCATTGAACTGTAGCTCTCGGTTGATATCATTGAAGTATTCATCATTCGCAGAATCTTTTCTTGAATCTTTTCTCCTAACATCCGGAGACGAGCCAGACTGTTTTCTTCTCCATGCTAGCCACAGAAATAAAATGAAGCAGAATCCCAAGTTAGATTAACAGGAAGGTGTTTCACAAAGACTAAGACCGACTTAAATTAGACTTGAACTATGGCAGGCTGTTCATGCCACTAGTTCCCTTTACCATATCTGGCATTGGTTTCTCAAGGGGCGTACAAATCATGCTCACATTTCTACAGAATTTACCTATTTTGATAATTCATTATTAAAGGAAAAAAATTGCAATGAGGCACTTTACAAAGACTGACATGTACGCACACATGTACATGTATGCATTACAGATGGTTACATTACGAAAATGAACTGTTATCAACCAACTTTAAGGGCTACTTGAGTTCTGTTTTCAGACCGCAATTGCCTTCAAAGTGCATGGTTATTGCTCTTATTCTTATCTATGACATTTCTAGTGCCCTTAGAGGACCTAAAATTGCAATGAAGGTAATTTTTGACCCCAAAATGTGTGAAATTTAGCCAATACGATCATACCAATTCAGCTCCACTTTCAAAAAAATATGATGACCATTAATTAATTAATTAATTAATAATAACAATACATGGGCCGGCTTGTTGGGCTTAATATAACCAACACAAAAAAGCCAACATCGGCATTGGCTGAAATACAACATAAAAGGCGCTTTTTTGATTTGTCAACAGCTTTTTCAAATTATTGAATACTTGTGGTGGTACACAAGTATTAGAAATCGTTATATTTATGGATTGAACAGATGTCTCTGAACCGATTTTGATCAAACAAAGATGATTTTGTCATTTAAATTGTATGTTCTATCAAATTTGACACTCAGTTTTTCATTATCTCACACAAAAATTATTTTGTATGTAGCACCCTCTGCAAAAGAACTCAACTATCCCTTTAAACTTACCAGGTGAGGGCAGCAAATTGAGCAATGCTGGCTTCTTCTCTTGAGCTTTGGCCTGCAGCTGAGCCACATCTTCCCTGTAAATGATCTGAACTGTGACCTCCAGCTGACCTCTGTCCCCCAGCTTCTTGGCCTCCTTGCCTTTCTTGGGCTGTAACTTGTACCATCTAGATATAAAGTAATGCAGTAAATGATTATAATCCGTTCTTGTATAAAATAACACATTATGAGATTAAACCTGACTGATATGAAATCATGTGTATGCTTGTATAATGTAAGTACATGTAAGCAACCAGGGAACCAACAACATTAGGTCCTCTCTGAGGGACTTGGTAATGAGGATTAATGTCTTACGAAAAGGCACTAGCGCATCAAATTGTTCTTTCAAATGAGCCATAGTGCCTTCCTAATGGTAAATAAAGAGAACTTACCTGCCTACTTTGGCAAGACATTTGCCATTCTCTACCCATGTGAAATGAACGAGGTAAAAATTCCTTGAATGCTTTAGTCAGCTAAGCTACAGCCATGCAGGGTAATAATGTGATACTTGGTACTAAGTGCAATAGAGTATACTAATATAGTAGCTGCAATGTATACCTTGTAAATAGATATATTATTATTATTATTAAATAAAGGTGTCACAAAAATTTTATTAGCTACACTTCGAAGATCAACTTACTTTTTGATGCTCTTTCCATATGAAGCTGCTACACCACTCAGAGATACCTCTACTCTCCCTAAAAAGCGTTCTCGTAAAAAGTCTGAATGGCAGACTATGAGTTCTAGAGTCCCTCCCTGGTCTGCTATCACACTGCAAGAAAAAAAACAAAAAACATTGAATTATTAAAATTTAACAACAGAAAATGGTTGAAAAATACGTGTCCCGCGTTAGAGTCACTGAAATTACCTAGGCATCTATATTTATTACTGGTATTTACATTGGACATACAAGCTTTGTTTTGTATAAAGTATTCCATAAACATTCTGCTGTCCTTACATTATACATTTAAAGGTGAAATTCAAAGAAAATCACAAATATGTCAACTAATGTATGACTAGAAACTGGTAATCTAACGGATGGCCATCGTACAAGTTATACATGTACACATGTAGGTCAACTACATATCGGGTGATCTATAAAAAATACAAATACAACCACCTCCATAGCAGCTGGGATATACCAGAGATTCGCCGCAAAAATAACGATGTTTTAATGACGTCACTATATGGACCAACACTGCCCAAGCAGACGACATCCCATAGAGAATGAACATAATTGCAAAGCTATTATTTGTCAAATTATAATGAGTTTAGTGTATATAAATGTAATGGCATGTCAAACCATTCAAAAGGGGATATGACCCAATTCTGATAATCTTTTGCTTGTAAATACACAGGATAGGGGTTAAATAACAATCAAAGAAACCAGACTTTCAAATTGAAAACCCCCTGGAATGATATTAAGGACGGCATTTGTTCCCTCTTGAAACTCCGAACATACCCCGGTGTGTGCAGCTGAATATACAATGGCATCTTATTTTGTTTACAAGCGACAGATTCCTTTATTTTTGTATCGCTGCATTTGTCATCAAAATAAAACCATGCGCGGTGTTAAGAAAAAATCAATGAATATCAACTTTAAGACGTGACAAGTGGAAAAATGGACAGAATAGAATAGTGGGTGGAAGTGTAATTCATGAAAGATTTGAACATGCCTTAAATATATAAATTGAATCCCATACTCCTCCTTTAAAAAAAAAATCAAAAAAATTATTAAATGTGTTTTTCAAACCTTAGAATTTAAATTGTCAGATTATGTGAAAAATGGAATATATATTTGTTATTAAAGATAATACTGGACAGTTTCAAGCTAGGTAAATTGTACAGTCTGGTGACATATCCACTAGACCACAACTCCTCGACTATACTCTACTTTGGAAAGGTGTTGTGGTCTAGCTTGACTATGGATCAAAGGGTTCACGGTTTGAGTCCCGCCGCGGCACCAATATCCTTTGGCAAGACATCAATCTAAATTTGCCACTCCACCCAGGTGTTAAAAGGTTACCGGTAGGAAAGAATTCCTTGAATGATGTGAGCACCGATAATGGTATTGGTAGCCCAGCCCAGCAGAGCAGGGGCAATATTGGAGCGCCTTGAGCACCTTGTGTGGTAGATATGTGACTTATCAAAATATCCAATATCATTATTATTACTAACAACTTTAAAGCCCCACTGCACTACTTATAGGTACTTGCGCCCTCTATATAGCAAACTATGCCTAATCGGTGCCTGTTGGTCCCCCATGATCCTCTTTTTGTTATGTTAATTGAGAACTGATTTGAAGAGATCTTGCAGGGAGGTCTAATCCTCCTTGCCCATCTAGTGCAGATGGGCTTTAAAATGCAAAATAGATACCGGTAAACAATATATTAGAATGTCCTGAGGCCTCCTGCTTTTTCCCTTGTAAGAAACTTGCTAAACATACATAAGATATATCCATTCTCCCCATTATCTCTTATTTTTTAAGCAGATTATGTTTTCATGATGGTTTGGCACCAATCAATATATATTTGTTTGCTTGTATTTTAACTTAGAAACATATTTTGTCAAACTTACATGTTAATATTCATTTGTATGATGTTTCTTTGTATTGATATGAAAAAAAGTGAAAATAAAACAAACAAACAAACAAACAAATAAACTTACAATTCACATTCTTCATTCCAGATGGGTCTCTGTGTCTTCTCTAAGACGGAGGTAGCAAATTTATTCTTGTTTAGAGTGAACGTCACAAAGGCGTTGTTGGAGTCATCCTTGCCCTTGTACAGAAGATCCCTGGCTTGGTGGGCTACATGCAAAAAGGACACAAGTGTTAATTTGTTAAAAATGAGAGATTCACATTGACAAACTGGGGTTGTATTCTGAAAACAATACCGGTATTTATTTCATGTAAGGGAAAATGTAGTTAACTGTCATGACAAATTCAAATTGCACAGAATTAACACTTAATGTTGAGGTTCATTGATTTTTTTTAAAGATTTCAAGTCTACATAATTTTTATAATTCTCTTGTGGTCAACATTTTGCCATTTGCGCTACCTGAATTGAACACTAATGGGCTCCTTGTTTGTTTGTTTTTTTCCTTTCTTTAATATTTGTTTGCTATCAAGGTTGGATTTTGGTTGGCTATGTATGTTAGTAAAATGGCATTTGATATCAATAATGTATAGTGTACAAGGCCCAGTGCCACTCCATTATATATCTAACACTTTATTTATTGAAGATGCTGGTCGACAGAATATTGATTTTCATTTACAATATCTTACATCCTGTATTTTGATATGGTTGTGAAGAACATTGTGATATCAATATGTTTCAATAAATATGGTCATGGTTTTTGTGTAAATGTAAACTTCCTTAAATACATGTAAGTTATGTTTATTGGATTTGTATTGTTTTGGTTCTCTTGTTTAAAAATAAATTTGCCTTGTTTTGCAATGTACATGTACACATGTAACTACTGTAGATAGGAAAACAAAGGAACTCCCTACTGTGCTATTGTAGTCGCCTTCATGTATGATCTTGTTTCACATCAGCTATGGGACTGGTTTTAACTAATCAACTTTTTTTTCTTTAAATCAATAATAATAATTATCTACATACATGTACTGTACATTCTCATCTACAGCTGTACACTTTGTCCTTTGTTACAGTGTAGACACTACTCTCTCTACCCCACCCTACCTGTATCTCTCTCTAGTCTCTACACCACCCCACCCTCTCCCCCTCCCCTCTTCCCCCTCTCTCTCTCTCTCTCTCTTCCTCTCTCTCTCTCTCTCTCTCTCTCCCTCTCTCTCTCTCTCTCTCTCTCTCTCTCTCCATTTCTCTACCATGACCATGTCAACTGGAATTCACACTTAACACACTTTAATTATGAGACTTTGTAAACATGTCAATTCCGAGTGAGCAAACATACACCTGTGTATGTTAATGTGTGTCAGCACTCAGCAGTTGAACTGCCTCTGATCTTGAGCAATATTTACATTTTGGGCATGTACAGGATTATATCATTCAGAAGGAATGTTTATAACCAACCAACTTAACAGGAAACCCCACCACAAGAAATTACTTTAATATCTATTCTGAGAGATTTATTGTATTCTTACCCATTAAGGTGCCATAATGAAGTGTATAAAAGCAAGAGTTTCTCAGCATGTATACCAGTATAATACAATTGTTTAATACAAATTGTTTGTACTCCTTGTAATTGTAAAATTGAGGTGTTTTTTGTTGTTTGGTAAATCAAGAATAAAAGGTGGACTGGTTGAATACTTTTACAAGTCATGTAAAGCTTTAATATATCAAGAAACATTACTGGGACAAACCAATGGTTGTCAATTTAGTTAAAGAATTACAAAATTTGGATAAGGGTAATAATGGTTAAGTTATTGTACATACTTAAAAGAGAGAGAGGGAGAGAGAGAGAGAGAACAGAACAATCAACCACTACATGTATGTAAATCATCAATATCAACCACTATGTAAATCAACAATGATCAGCCCATATTCCCCCAAATATTCATGCTGACAAATTGTCAACCCAATGGCACCACCACAACAATGAATGAGTCAGTGATAATTGCACACAAACACAAGGTTCATTCAGTGATGAACCCCTACTACATGTACATACTACACCCCTGTTTGATACTATAGTCTTTAAGTCAGACCCTTGTCAAACGTGTGCAGTTATTGTTGTGGCTAAAGCCTACATACATGTAGTTGTAAGACCTGCATGTGCACCACATTATGTACAGCTAAAGCTATTGATGACTCACTCCAGAGTCAATAAAATACAATTTATTTTTGTATTCATGGATGTTTTGTATTTTTAGGAGTACTGTACGTGCATACTGTACATGCTTTGCCTACTGTAAGCATTTGCTCTCACAGATCTTCCTTCTCCAAATCTATTTTAAAACTGTCTCAAGTTGCATGTGCATCATCTGCAAAATCAACCTTCTGGTCCCATATTTCTAAATTTAAAAGAAATTGTGTTAGCACTACCAAGAAGAGTCCCCCTAAGGCCCCTATATATTTTAACAGGTGTACATGTACCGACAGGTTTGTTCATAATGCATACAGTGTAACAAGGTTTCACTCAGTAGACTAGAACCATCAAACAGAGACAGACAAAGGTTATTGAGATATTATTTCATTACATGGCATTTATCACCTGGTAAACTCAATCCATTACACACTCCATCAATATGTCACAGAAACAATAACCATTCGAGCCATTGCGATAGTTTGCAGGCATTTAAACTATTGCCAGTCGTTCTGCTCTATGTGCTTCATGCAGTGTCTGCATTAGTTACCGGTAGTTGCTTTAACAAAAGGAATTTTACTAGTCTTCCAATATGGCATTTTTTGTATTGTAATCATACGTAATGCATGTACGTGCCTCAGTACAAATTATTTCATTTCATTCATAAATGTTATGAATAATAAAGTACATCAATAGTCAGGATATACATTGTATTTATTAGTTGTTGCTACAATGTACGTAGAACAAACATTATGGCTTGCTTTTTAATATCTAACAACACGTAATGTACAGTGTACATGCAAATGATGCAATTTGTATACTGACTATTCTAACAGGTGAATCATATTAATCATTCCTATTGAGGCACTTTACAAAGACGTACAAAAAATGGCTCATTCCTTCATTCATCCAATTGATTTTTAGTTCTATTGCAGTATTACAATTTTGTTCAACTGAATTTTATCTTGTTATCATCAATCAAAAAATTACAAAAAATGCAACAACAACAAAAAGATGTAAAGAAATTAATAATGTCTAGATGTACAAGAAATTGAAGAAAACATGATTTTTGGTGATTAAATGTGCATGTTAGACTCGTTCAGATACAGTGAATATGACAGGGACAAAGGTGCTGTTTTTTGTTAACGATAACATTTGAAGATACTGTACACTTGAGTTCAGGTAAAAAAAGAAAATGAATTCTCACAGAATCAAACAAAACTTACACTGAATGTTCAAGATATTACAAATAAATGTCATTTGCCAAACAATTTTGGTAGAAAATGTATATTGCCTGAGTAATGAGCATATATATAAAGATAAGGAAATCAAGGTACACTACATGTACATGTATGTAGCCCTGACACCATTTGTGTTGTCCCATATGCATCTTTCTGTGTACAGTGCTGGTTACTTTACGAAGACTGGGCCAAATTTATTATGATTCTGATGACTCCAGAACCTTGCAGTACACACAAATACTACATGCTACATGATCAACCTTTTCTGATCCTTTCCACACCTTTTCTTTCACAATGCAATTGCATGACTAGAACTCAACTTAAAGCGTAAATGCTTCACATTTCAGTATCTTTTTTTCTTTTAGCAAAGAGCTTACGTTTTGGCATTACACGAAGGACTCTTGTTGTGATTAGTTGCAATTCTTATACACGTAAGAAAAAAACAGTGGCACCTTTGTTTGCGGTATTTCACCACGTCATATACAGTATATCTGAACAACCCTTTAATGATACATGTGCAGTCAAACTTACCTACAACTCTGCATACATTTCCCGGCAATGAAAGGGAAGAAAGTGACATTTTGAAGCTCTATGTTCTGGAATTCTCACGCTGAACACACAGTGAATGAAATGACATGTGACATCATTGTGAAGACCAGGCAGAAGCAGCACCGTATATTAGCACCTCAAGTCAATGGCTGTCTGTAAGGTCAAGGAGAAAAGGATTGAATAAAAACAAACTCTGAAAACAAAAAATATCATTCTAAACAAAAAACAGAGTTACATTACAGAGAAGTCAGTCAACTGAGAACACAATCATCAATGACAATGTTTTTTCAATAAAGATTAAAGAAGATACGCTATCTAACGGTACATGAAAAGCATGTAGTGTATGTATGCATGTACCAGTATGTATTTTTAATACATCAATGCTTTGAATAGATGACATTTGTTGTCTATTTCCAATATTTTCATAGAAACTACATTGTAAGTCTATGTAAATTACATAACATGCATACATGTACAGGTGCATTTTATTTTATTAATCATCATCATCATCTATATGATAAATAGTTTTTTTTATTTCATCATAATTTTTGGAATGCATGTAAATTATCACAAACCATTAAATCAAACTGACTTTCATGCTGCCTATTTGGATTCCTGGGCTGTGTTTCACAAAACTGTCACGCAGATACAAGTTAATACAGACATGCCATTGGAACATGTAAATTAATACAAGTTTCAATGGGATATCGGCAAATTTGTACCTAACCATGTTTTGTGAAACAATACCATGGACCCTGGGGGGTGTTTCACAAAGATCCTAAGTAGAACTTAACACTCTAAGTTGGACTTAAAAATTATGGACAGCCATTGGAGTCTTAAAATGAAATATATTCAAAAGCAGAAATTCAAGTATTTTAGACTTTTTTTTATGAATTCCACATCCAGAACATGAAATCTCCTCGATGATAGACAATATGAATGGTTTGAATAAACAATTAATGCCTTTCAAAATAACTTTTACAAAATATTTTCAAAGATGCTAATGGCTTTCCATAATTTTTAAGTCCAACTTAGAGATAAGTTCAACTTCGGATCTTTGTGAAACACCCCCCAGGTCTTCACAGTATCCATTGCTGTAAAGTAGCACATCACTTATACAGTAATAGGTTTACACTACACACCTATTTCTTTCAAGACACTCTTGTTTCTTTCTCTTAAGGTTTCAAGTTTCAACCTCCCAAGTCTTTGCATGTGACTATACTACAGGTATACACAAATGTACATCATGTACACGTTCACATTCACAGACCCTATATCATATTTTGAGTCACTTGCTGTCTTTTCAATACCGTAACATGAAATAAGTGAACTTTGCCGTTGCATTGCAGTAGACTATTTTGTCTTGATACTTGGCATGGCATATATTTATTAAAGCATGACCATTATTCAAGATAGTCTTCTTCTTCTTCTTCTTCTTCAAGATAATCTGCCTCCTTCAATACTGAAGATTCTTGCAGATGCCGTACTCTCGGCCTGATTGGGGTGTGCAGGTGGACCATTACACTGGGGTTTTCCCCTACTCTTATACAAATAGTGTAATAGTGCATGTAACATTAAAGTAAAAGCTCCCTGGAGTAAGCTGGAAGTTAGAGAACTGATTTATTACTATATAATTTACAGTACCGGTAAGGATATGATTTTGGAGCAAGCTACATGTATGCTAAGCCATAACATAATTCATAATGTAACGCATACCATTTAGAATTAAACATTTCAATTATCATTATCAATATTATACAAATAATACACAGGTGTGAGTGTGTTATGGTCGATGCAGCGCATGAAGGTAGTCACTATGGTGCAATCAAATTCATGAGGCGCTGCCGAGTGTAATTTGTGCCATTGTGAATACATGAATAGCGCTGCATCGCCATAATGTCAGAAATGAAAACCTGTATCATTTGTTTTATAAAATGGGTTGACAATCTTACTTAATTAGCAAGGCGATAACACTTTAAACCAGCAACCTTCATAACAAATAATATGTGCACACAGACGATCACAGCTGCAGTGGCTTCGTAAACAGGACTGTGCAGTGCGTGGTGCCAATTCACGTAAACATCCGTTGAATTACATGCAGCGTGCATTATGCCTTTTTGTTGCACCTTTTTAGCATGGCCGTTAAGTGTTATCACCAAAATGCACTCCCCATGCGTGTGTAAGGGGTAGGCTATGGTTAAAATTAACGCACACACACATCATGATTCATTTTGAAGCTTCTCATTGGCAAAATTCTTCAACCCATTTAATATAGACCCTAGTCTAACATTTATTATTAGACTAGACTAGACTAGATCTGATCATCTAGAACTCTAGGTTTAGATCTAGACTTCTAAATAGATTCCATGACATTTGCTCCGGCGACAATTGCTCCGCTGTAAATTTCATACACTAATCGAATGGCTAACTTCAACCCTGGATTCAACACTATCTATACTCTACCCTAAACCTAACCCTAAACCTAACATAAAACCCTATTGAAACCCTAACCCTAACCCTACATCTTAGACGAAATAAAGCCCGGAGCAATTGTCGCAGGAGCAAATGTCGTGTCACCATCCCTCCACCTCCTTCTCAGTCTTTCTTCTTCTTCCGCGCCGCCTCTTCTTCTGTTGTCTACATTCCACCATGAAAACCTATTGATGGGACTGAAGGTAAAGATTTTGACAACATTTACTATTATTTTGTTAATAAAGCTATATTTTACGAACGATTAATACACTAAATCTTACTTACTTTTAGAGGATGATAAAGACAAGTGCTCCTTATTGTCTCACGTAAAATAAAGGCAAGAGACACTCATTAATACGGCAGTACTAGAAATGCAAAATCCCAACACAAAATTTGTCTCTCACTCTCTGTTCATGTAGTCTGTAAGTTGAGCTCAGCACACAAATCATCAGCTTGCGCATAGAGCAGATACTCTCATTGTTTTGAGCTGGATAAACTTCGGGGGCAGTGTTCACATTTTGTTAATTATTATTAGGTTCGAAGTTGAACCTAAAATAACACAATTTGCCAGAGCCTAATAAAAAGGATGAGTGGACTTGTCTAGGTCCAAATAATGCGCTTACAGGTCATTGGTATTGGTATAGCTGAAATCATTTCGTCATGAGGTTTTTTTTTTTTGGGGGGGGGGGATCGAGGGCCGAAGTTGGTCGGGTTTTGTTTTGTCCTTCCCTTCTTCTTCTTTTTCTTCTTCTTCATCTTCATCTTCTTCTTCTTCTTCTTCTTCTTCTTCTTCTTCTTCTTCTTCTTCTTCTTCTTCTTCTTCTTCTTCTTCTTCTTCTTCTTCTTCTTCTTCTTCTTGATTTTGTGTTTGTGTCATTTTCGATTTTTTTTTTCTTGACTAATTATTGCTGTTTTGAAGTAGTATCATGACTGCATGCAGGGGCGGCGATCCTTCCCACACTGAACGAAATATCGGCCGGCACGACTTTCAAATTTCAGCACACTTAATTTCTAACTGATTTCAAATTTGGGCCTCCCCCCCCCCCCCCCCCCTTCCTTAGAAATCGTTGATCCGCGCCTGCTTATGGCACCGGAAAAGGGGGACCTATCAGATTTAATGGGGGCTTGTATCAGAGGTGAATAGAAGCATTGAAAATAAGGGGAAGGGGCTCTTATACAAAGAGGGACGCTTAAATTATCGGAAGTAAAAGGGGCACTTACAGTGTATTAAAAAGAACAATAGGCACGTGTCATAATAAGTGACAATTATCAAAATCGAAAAGGGTCACTTTATTAAAAAGGTAAAAGGGCACTTATAAAGAAAAAAAACACTTGTCAAATTAAAAGAGGCTACAATATGGTATGGTACATGTAGGTGGCACTTACAAGAATGCCGGGGAACGGGCACCTATTAGAAAAAATGTCACTTATCTAACATAAAAGGGAGCATTTGGGGAAAACTTGAAAAAATGGAGGGGCAAGGTCCCCCTACCCCCCCCCCCCCCCCCCCGCCCCCACCACCACCCCTTCGGTGGACCGCCTCTGATCTGCCTACCACCTAGCGACAACCCTTATTCAATTACGAGTTCAAGAATTTTGCTTCTGGTACTGCAATCATAAGGAGAGAATAGCTGCCGTATGTAAAGTTGACATTAATGCGTCACCGCATATAAGAAAAGGCGTAAAAGGGGCAACTCCCTGTCTATTAATGTATTATTTTCCATAAATCTGAAATAAAGCAAACAAAAAGGCTCCACTGGCTATTTATGGTGTCTTTCAGAATATCCCCCCATATCGAAACAGGTTTTTTGCAATCAGACCCATTCATATTTCATGGATGATGGTGTATATTGGAGCCGGATACGGAGGCACGGAAAACATACAAATAGACGCAAAAATGGTAATCATAATTAAACATAGAAGTAAATTCTGATGATATGAAATTTTGTGAGCCCGTTGGGTTTAGATTTGGAAGCCTAGTTTCACTCAGAATATTTTATTTTCATTTTGTGTGTGTTGCGTATTTGTTTTAATGATAGATGAAAGCGATTGTTAGACGACATTATGACCTGCATCGATACATTCAACAACATGAAGGCTAGGCGTTGCACATGCCTCACCGAGGAGCAATGGGACACGGTGCCCCTCGATCCCCCCTCCCCCCCCCCCCCTCATCATTTCATATTTGTTTAGGTATGCCCACAAAACTTACTTTCTAAAGTGCCCTTCCTTTTTGATCCCCCCTCTCCCACATTGAAAGACGCCCAAGATAAATATTTAAAAAAAAACGTTTAGTTGATTTTGCTGTCGTTGTTATTTTGTTTTGTTCTGTTTGTACAACTTTACATGAATATCTAGTTTACGAAAGGGCAATGACGCTACATCTGGAGATTTGTTTTAATTATTGTTCTCATCGACAGCACCACCTCAACGACAAGTACCATAATTACATGTATCTCAATGTAGAACAAACCACAGTTAAAACAAAAAATGTAGCACATACAGGGCTTATGCGTCTTTTGAAATCCAGAGGGCGTTATCTCTATTTAAGACTCCGTAAAACTGCCTTCATCCACACTTCTCTCTCGAAATGTTATTCAGTGGTATTAAATCTTGATGAAGTTTCCTCTTTGCATTTTTAGGGGTTTACATTGATTTGAAATGTGATTTATGGAAGGTTGTTGGAGGTTCCTCCTTGGGGGGGGGGGGGGGGGGGGGGGGGGGGGGGTAAGAGCACTTTTTTGTTGGCTGAATCCGTGATGTCACTGTGACGTAGTACCGGGCTACTTATATTACCAATTTTGTTTCAAATGAGGCATTTATTACACCTGGAAAAAGGTACTCACCAGGAATGAAAGAAAGACACTATGAGAGTGTGATTGGGTATTTTTTGACGGAAAAGGGGCACCCATCAGATTTTGATAGGGGCATTTATAAGAGAAGAAAAGGGTCACTTATTTGCATTTATATGAAAGAAAGGAGGCACCGATTAGAGTTTTAAAAAAAGGTATTTAACAGAGGTGAAGGGGGTACTTATCAAAAGGGAAAAGGGGCACTTCTCGTACCTGAAACGGGGCACGTACTAGAGATTAGTAAAGCACTTATGAGAATGGAAAATGGAGACTTACTGCAAAAAAAAAAATTGGGAATTTGTCATAGGAAAAGGGGCGGGTGTCAAAATAGGGGTACTTATGATTTATCAGAGGTGATCGAAAGGGGAAGGGGCACATCAATAATACTGTTAGTGCTAGTCAGAGGCGGCGGTTTCTTTTCATGACCGGGGGACGAATTGCAAGGGACATTGGAGCAGAGTGAACGAAAGGGGCGAAGTCCATGCACGGAGGTGAATACCCTCTCACAGTCTTGGTGTATTAAGATATTACATTCCTTAGCAAAACTATGGTATACAAATGGAAAACAGACTTACTACAATATTTACTTGTACATTTTGAAGGATATTATGCGGGGGAGCGGCGGCGACCGAGAAAGAAGATTTGTGCATAATTGTGATTGCTATACATTTTTTTCTTCACTTTTTCAAATTTCCTGGGGGGGGGCACCATCCCCTAGAAAATTGAAGCTCCTGCTGCTAGTGCTACTACTACTAATAATAATATCAATAATGTTAATGAATATTTTTCTCTTCAGATCTTTCCCCATTGTTCTGCATCCAACAAATTGCCCACCCCTCTCTCTCTTTCTTTCTCCCTCTTGCACCCTCTCTCTCTCTCTCTCTCTCTCTCTCTCTCTCTTTCTCTCTTTCCTGACATAAATATTGCAACGAAATTATAAAGGAGAAACTCAAGGTAGATGAAGATGAAGTGAAGTGTTTCAATATTAGGGAAGGACAAAAAGGAAGAGGAACATGAGAGAGAGATGAAGAAAGAGAGAAAGAGGGAGAGATTGAGAGAGAGAGTGAAAGAGAGAGAGATGGAGAGAGAGAGAGAGGGGAGAGAGTGAGAGAGAGAGAGAGAGAGAGAGAGAGAGAAAGAGAAAGTGAGAGCGAGAGGGAAAAGGGGTAGAAGGTGATAAAGTGAGATAGAATGACAGGTCTGAAACTTGCAACTTTGATCTAGCTGAAAATCTCAGACTCTAATGGAGGGAGAAAATAAAGAAAAGAAGCAGATAAAGAAGAGGAAGAACAAAAAGAAAAAAATGAGAAGGAGAAGAAGAAGAAGAAGAAGAAGAAAAGAAGAAGAAGAAGAGGAGGAGGAGGAGGAGGAGGAAGAAGAAGAAGAAGAAGAAATAGAAGAAGAAGAAGAAGAAGAAGAGGAGGAGGAGGAGGAGGAGGAGGAATTTCTAGACGAAGATGATGATGAAGAAGAAGAAGAAGAAAAGGAGGAAGAAGAAGAAGAAGAAGATTTCAATCAGAAATGAGATCCCCTTTCATAGTTGGCTACATCTCACTAGACAGACAATAATCCACTAGACCTACATGCATTCATAGAGACGACAATTCACGAGACACACAGTATAATATAATTGATATTATTGTAATCTATATGATCTGTAAGCTTTCCGTTGATATATAATTCATCATTTCATTTTCAATAACGACAGGGTCTCTTTAAATATAAAAGAAGGATCACTTTTTAAAACACACAGATATGAACTGATGAAAGCATTTCAAAGTATACATGCATATACATATTTTATTATTTTCTGTCGATTTCAATACAATGTCATGTTCAACTCTTTTTGCTCTTCGCTGTGTTTTCAGCCATTTGTAGAATGACTGTGATCGATCTTACTTACTAGGATTATTATCAAATAAGCCCTAAGTGAAAGTACAGTAGCATTATTACAATATATACAAAGAAACAATAATCATAGTGAACTGCCCGAGTAAAAATAGAAAAATACATTATGTGCAAAGCTGTCTCCATAGAAAATATATTTCAAGTACATGTACGTGTATTTCACTCTTATAAGTAATTTCAGTAGGTCTACCCTTAACATGTATATTATCAATCATTATTTTAGCGACTATCAAGAAATATTTACACATTTGGAAATGAAATCATAAAACGATTGCAACTATTTAAAAAAAAACTCAAGGGAAATTTCTTTACCTTACCCTGTTGGTGTTGTACCTCCCATATACAAATCATGTTCGAATTATTACGTAATACTCATTGTTCGCACGTTGCATTAGGTGACGCATACACGAGGCTATTGAAATGGCCCTGTGTTGCTTTTTCAAAAGTAGCTGCGATTGTGTTACATTTTAACACCAAGTATAAACATAACATAACATCTTAATTATACATTGACAACACAAAATCGTTTGTTCTAGCGTCGTCCAAGAGTCTTTGTCCATCTCTAGAAGACTCATTAGAAAGATTATATTACATAAGAAAGACCATGATGAATACCAAGATAACAAGCTGCGTGAGAATGAAAGAAACACTCTAAAATGAATAACAAGTTCCATTGTAAATATCAGAGATTATGTACATGAATATATACATTTGTGAACGTTTTTGTTTGTTGTTATTTTTTTATATATTTTTCCTAAGTACAAACCAATTTTTAAGTGTTTTTTTGTTTTAAGTTGACCATGTTTTGTGGGGCTCTGGGTTTACGCTTTTACGACTCATTAGTTTTTTTTTTCTATGAGGGCGCTACTCATTATATTCATGCCTATCATGGCTGGCAGCTTAAAGGCTCGTTCAGACATCATGCCGCAAAATATTGGTGGGCTTTTACTTATATGACGTAAAGTATAGTAAGCTTCACATTTGCGTATCTTATAACAAAGAGCTAGCTCAGTGAATATATGCAATTCCTTTGTTTCATACAGCTCTTTTACGACGCTTTACAGCACAATTTCTGAGCAAGTCTTTAGGAAGGGAATAGGATCTATAATGGTACGTGTTACTGAGTCAAATCGTGTTTTTAAGGTTGTTGGGCTTGATTTTTCAGATTAAGCTAGCCAAGCTGGGTTTGTTGTGTCTGTTTTGTGTGACCGAGTTGGTCTATGTTACTAAATTAAAGGTATAAGGTTAAAGGTACTATGTCCCATTTGCAGGCCCAACAAATGAAAAAGTTAAATTCCAACTGCATTTGAAAGATAATACTAATTTAGAACTTCTCTAAAAAAGGTGGGGCTTGAAAATGTCTTCAAGTGGGAAAATAACGACTATTAGTTGTCAAATCGACTTTAGGGCTATAGAGCCCAAAAGTAATAGTCTTGATTTTCAGACAATTGTACCGAATGGTCATACGTTTTATGCTGCGCACAGATTCAATCAGTTTAATCTTGGCCATCACAAGAAGTGGGTTATTGATGTAGACAAATGCTCATGTACCCTTTACAACTCTTTTCATGTATGTTATTACCAAAGAAGAAAAAAAGCCAGTCAGTCACTCAATAGTGTCTGACAGTGAAGTCTAGCAAGTAAACGGGTTTCCTTGCATAATTTGAATATGAGGACATTGCTAACGTTTAAATTTCACAGATAGGACATACATGACATATTCATATTTCCTGCAAAGTTCTACAGAATTTGAGGTTGGCTGCAAAAGGCCTGGGTTAAAGATTGTTGGGCGTGTTGTCTAAGATTAAGCTAGCCAAGCTGGGTTTGTTGTGTCTGTTTTGTGTGACCGAGTTGGTCTATGTTACTGAATTAAGAGGTATAAGGTTAAAGGCCTGCCGGCTGTTGGGCGTGTTGTCCGAGTTTAAGCTAGCCAAGCTGGGTTTGCTGCTGGTTCTGCAACTGTTGCAACGAGTCCATCAGCTGGAGTTGGTCCATGATACCGGGTTGTCCAAGCTGATTAAGCTAGGCAAGCTGAGTTTACTGCTGGTTCTGTAACTGTTGCAACATCTCAAGTTGGTCCGTGTTACCGGGTTGTCCAAGCTGATCAAGCTAGGCAAGCTGAGTTTACTGCTGGTTCTGTAACTGCTGCAGCTGCTGGAGTTGGTCCATGTTACCGGGTTGTCCAAGTTGATTTATCTCCTGCATAGCAGACATGGTGTACATGTAGAAAGCCACAAGGAGACCAAGATAAGTCAAGAAGAAGAGCACCCCACATACCAGACTGCATACCGAATATCGCTTAGCAGCCCTTGAAGACTGGGTAGCTCCTACGACGTCACCAACTAGCCATTTATTACGAACCTGAGCAGGGAGGAAATATAACAGATACAAAATAGTACTAGTAGTAGTAGTGACAGTAGTAATAGTATAGTATTGGTAGTAGTAATAGTGTTGGTGGTGGTAGTAGTAGTTTAATAGTAGTACTAAGTTTTAGAAATACTAGAAGGAGGTAGTAGTAGTAGCAGTAGTAGAAGACGTAGTATAGTAGTAGAAGAAGTAGTTGTACTAAGTTTTAGAAATACAAGAAGGAGGTAGTAGTAGTAGCAGTAGTAGTAATGGTGGTGATGGGAGTTGCATTATAAATAGTATAGTAGTAGTAGCAGTAGTAGAAGAAGCAGTATAGTAGTAGTAGAAACACTAGGAGTAGTAGTAGTTGCAGTAGTAGTAATGGTGGTGGTGGGAGTTGTATAAATAGTATAGTAGTAGTATAGTAGTAGAAGAAGTAGTATAGTAGTATAAGAAGTAGTATATTAGTAGAAGTAGTAGTAATAGTGGTGGTGGGGGTAGTAGTAGAACTATTAACTCACTAATTACTTTCTTCCATGGGTTAAGAGAATTATTTAAACAATGATATATTCACAGTTACTGTATATCCTTTTAGAACAGGCTTTTTTTCTTCAAAGGGCTATTCTCGCTACCCCAAATAGCGATTCTGCCGAGATCCGGGGAAAATCCTGAAAACGCGCATTGCATTATGGGATAGCTTTTCGACATTACAGCTTCCTGTGCAGGCGCTATATTACTAGGCGCGATAGCGCAAACGTAAAACACAACGTGTATGCACCGAATATGTCGTCTGCTCGGTCTTGTTTTTTTTCGCAAATATTTCAACGTTTATTTGAACATTTCATTTGTTGTTTTTTGCGTCTTTTGACATCAGTGACGATGGTTTTCTTTTGTGAGGCTGCACAGTGCTGGGCTCATGATTCCAAGCGTAAGAACCCTGATTTTAGCGTGCGTGAAAACTCTGCACAGCGGGATGGGACTCTATACCGGAAGTTGTAGTGACGACCCGAGAGAGTGAAAATTACCTCGTCTCGCGAATTTCGAGATTTTCGTACCTATTTAGGGTAGCGAGATATATTTTTTTTCTTTTACATTCTTCTCAAAAAGGTGTTTTATCACTTCTTTATTCAAGAAAGCAGGAAACAATGATTTAAACAATTTCATTAAATATCAAATTCAATATGATTTGAGAAAAGAAAAAACAATTATTTCATTTATTTGTCAGAATATTGATATAATCATATTAAAATAGTGACAAATTTGCAGATGAAATGTCTCTGGAACCAATATCCATGTGTACTCTCTAAACAAAAATTGAGTAAACACTTACATAACTCCTCTAGAGAGTAATAGTGTCAATAGAGTGAACATTAATTCTTTTCTTCTTAGGGAGCACTCGAAAATCAATCAATATTCACTCCTAAACAAGTGATCCCTGACGTCACTCCCAAGAAAGTGAAAATAGAGTGAAAATTCACTCTCCTTTGTTTAGAGAGTAAGGTTAATTGTCTTATTAAAAATCCATTGCATCACACGCAGAATACCAATGCAACCAAAAACATAACGCAGGATGTGCATATCCCCCCTCCCCACTTCTACTTAGGTTCCTGGTTTAATTATGAATTAAAAGAAATATATATATTATATATATATATTATATATATATATATATATGACTTATATTTCCTTTCTACACAATGCTTACTAAATCCTTGTTGACAAGTAAGCCTCAAGAGTTACCTTAAACTAAGTAGCAGAAATTGGTTGTATAAAGCATAAATCTTGTAGCTGAAGTGGTAGATAGCAATAGATGTAGACGTACTAGTAAAATGACTGGCAGTAATTGAAGTAGAAATAGTAATGTAGGGGCAGTAATATCTCATTCACTATGTATGTTTATCATAATTTGTATCTTTATCACTGTCCTGTAATATTTCATGTAATATATTTGTATTGTAATACTCTGTAACCAGTGGAAACCAAATTTCCTGAAAAGGACAATAAATTATTATACTTAAACTTATAGAGGGGAAAGTATACTACTAGTATATATATTGTATGAACTTACATCAACAGACTTGACGATGGCTGCAATTCCACACGGGATACAGCAGAATAGAGCGCTGAGGATAGCGAAGAGAAGATGGTCATCCGGCTGCTGGCCATACCGTGCCTGTCCAATGGTCTGAGCTTGTGGTACCTATAAGTATGACATGTAAGGCAGATAGTATGTATATTTCATCACGCAATTTACTTTTGACCAATCGTAGATCAAGATTCTAAGTATGTAGAATATAATGCATGATAATAATAACGATGCTGCTGATGATAACGATAATGATGTTAAATAATGGTAATTAAAATGCTAATTATAATAAGGATAACCATGATAATAACAGTAATTACAATAATTTTGATAACATTAATAATAGTGATGATGATAATGATAAACAATTTTTATTATTATAACATTTGATAATAATATTAAGGATAATAACGTTTCTAATGATAATGATAATAATAATACAAACAATCACAATAATTGTAATGCCACTCACCACTAACAATAGAGATTCTAATAATGTAAGTAATAGTAATAACTATGATTATAATTATGGTAATAATGTAAAAATAATGATTATAATTATAATACTTGTAGAGAGAAGAAAAAAAATGATACTAATGACAACAACAAAACAACTGCAACAGTTATTTTTTATATTTTCCCCAGGGTAGCCTCTCCTGCCATGGAACTTATTACCCTGGCATTGTCATGGTATATAGTCAGGAGTCCATTTAAAACTGTGTTTTGCTTTGTTTTTGTTTCTTTTTCTTTAATGTTTCTTTGTTTTTTCAAACAAAAAACAATGATGAAAGCTCTAATACAGAAATTGATATTCATTTTGAGTAATCCCCAGGCATTGGTTGTTGTTCTTGTTTTCGTACAACTACTTAAATTAAATTAATGGGTGGTGTTTTTCTGCAATTTTCATTAAAACAAAATATATATATACAAAGAAAATACATCTCACCTTATTAAATGTTTGGTCTGTATCTGGGTCATCTAAGAATGGTGTTGCCTTTCCACTCTCTAGGTCATGACCATTCTCCAGTTTATTGTACTGAGCTGTCAATGAGTACATTCACAAATTATGTTTAGGATGATAAAGAAAAAACGTTCATTGCTTGCAATTGGTTGGTAACTAATTGGGGGAATTATAAGATGTATTTGAGCTTTCTAGCTACCAACCTTAAATTTCATTAGGCAGGCTATATACTGTGGACTTTCACAAGCCAGCTTATTATTCACAGTTTCTGTCCAGAGATCATGGTCGCGAAGATATAAGCTACAATGAATAGCCAGATTGTTGTTGTTGTTGTTTTTATATGGCGTTTTCAATGAGTGAATATTACCATTCCCAGCATATCAAGTGTTGACAGATTTTGAAAAGCCTGTTTTATGTCTTATTTTATGGGAAAACGGTTGAGAGAATTCAACAATTGGAGGAAGAATTGCGTATTTGTGACAGCCTAATTTATTTATCCAAATAAGTATGCCATTGCATTTCAGGTCCTGCAATTTGAACCATATACACTGCACTCTGTCATCTGCCCGCTGGCGCCGCGCGTATATAAAAAAACAAATGTTACTTTTACCGTACTATACTATGCATGCAAACATGTACGTAGAGCGTATTTTGTCTACATTAAAGATTCCGACCCATAAATGTCAGCGAAAATGTGGTACGTGTAGGTATCAATATACAAGTACGTATCATGCTACAAATTTAAAGAAACTGATAATTTACCTGTCATGGCTTCTGATTATACGAAGTACGGTCTTTCGAACTTGGGCTCTGTGTACTAACGTTAGTGCAGTGATGATGACTGCGGCGATTGTTGTGCATGTACACTTTATACAGTGCTGGTACACTTTTTCGCCACGTAATTTTGGATTGATTCCAGGTCGACGTGTATGCGTATTAGCCCCATTTGCATTCACCGGAGCGGAGAATTAAAACGCTTCCTCTTTATTTGATGACGTCGCTTTCAGGGGCGCCGCGAAAGGGGAAATTATTTGCTCCCTCGATACATTCATGCTGCTAAAACCAACTCAAATTGGTTCCTAGTTTCTCTGTATTGCTATTATTTCTCACGAGGAGATACAGGTGGTGGGTTTCATATTACTATAGCTCCATCCCCATCTCGGCATTTCCTAATCGAGCTAAGTTGAGCTCCCCCCCCCCCCCCCCCCCCCCCACTCCGAGAACGGACGGACCCATGCGTGTTACCAAAATGTCCAGTAAACCGGGGGTACTTTTCGTGCGACAAAGTCCGGCCCGAGAATTGTAAACAAAAAGGGGTGTATTAACTTTCCACCCGGAGATTTCTTTAAAAAGGGGGTGTTTTTTCTGTCATCTCTTTGGACTCCTGAGAAATTATTCCGAATTTAGGGGGGTACATTGAGCATTTTTCATGATTTAGCGGGGTCTCCAAGGCAGGAAGAGTCCGCGAAAAGCCCGCGAAAGGGGGGTTCGGAAATGTTGGCAGTCCTCAGATAGGGTGCTTTCAAAAAGAGGGAACAAGCATATATGCGTACCCTAAATAACAATGAGTGGGGGAGGGGCGGGGTTGAGCTAGTACGTTGCAACTATTTCAAAAATGAGCATATGCGCATATGGCGTAATGTGATAAAATATGTCTAACAATTATTAAGGTTGTATGCTTGTGTGCTTATAGTTTGTGACTATGCAAGCCGACCACTTGTTCAGACTTAATTTGCGGCATGGCCCTCCATTAACCACCATGGTCATCTCTCTCTCTCTCTCTCTCTCTCTCCCTCTCACTATTATCTCTCTCTCTCTCTATCTATCTCTCTCTTTCGGTAACTCTGTCACTCTTTCTCTATCTCTTTGACATGAGTCAATTCCATCTCATCTCCTATACTTGCCAATAAATAGTCCAAAATCTGGCCGGTTCGTTATATTATATTCTCTACAATAATAATGATTCAAGCCGCAGAAGATGGCGTTATCAACGATAATGTGTCTAACGAGATGACGAGATAATTCCTCGTCTTATCGGCCTTTTTTGGTCCAAGAAGATGAAAAGGCGAGATTCCAAATCTCGTCTTCTCGACTTCTCGTGTACAAGAAGGTGAAAAGGCGAGATTATCGATCTCGTCTTCTCGACTTCTCGGGTACAAAATGATGAGCAATGTAGATTCCAAATATTGTGTAGAAAGTAGCTTTTAGTAGAACTTGTGGATGTACAAAATTAGCCGTAGCCATATCGGGGCATTCAGAAGCTCTTCAATTTCAGCCTTGAAGAGTTTCAAGACTTTCGTTTTTCCATGAATTATACCTCGTAATGTGAATACAGAGAAAGACATATTGTTTAGTTGTATAAATAAATATTAAAGCGTGCTATCGGTTTTTAATATCTGAAATATTATAGAACTCAAACAGTAAATCATATTGGGATTGCATTACCTATTTGTACGCTACATGACACAAAGACCTTCAAGGTCCGAGAGTGTTCAAGCCCCCTATCCCCCAAACAAAACACAATTTTAAAGTGCCTCCCTCCCTACCCCTCTCTGGGTAATAACTAGGTTCATGGTCCGGTCCAACTTAGTGTGTTTCCGGTGTTAGGAAATCAAGATTGTGGATGAATAAAGGTAGTTCTATTAATATTGATAGTATCCCAAAGTATGATTATTCATTGAAAAACGAAAATCTTGAAACTCTTCATTGGCTAAAATAGTGTAGAGCTTCATGCCTGGGTTCCTGGATATGGCTAAGGCTATATAATTTGTAGCTTCATAAGTCCTACTTTCTACAAATAAAAAAACATTATTGGCATATTAACAATTAACTAGTTTCTAAAAGAGCAATCTCAGTCCTTAAATGGCTATGATAATGGGCCTACTTGTTCTACTTAATGTCTCAGTGGCATAGCCTAGATAACCTCAGTCGGAGCAGGGTTGTGGGGCAATATTTCCCACAAGGGGGACAAATTACGATAGGATTATTGTGTGTCTTATGTTTTCCTTTGTTTTTGACACCACAGAAACAGGGAAATTATATTAGCTAGATTTGGGGATTATGATTATGGGGATTATCAAAGCTAAACAATTAATATACTTTTAAAAAGACATGGTACGGGGGCCGCTACCGTTTGCAGTGCCTTAAAACTTTGAAAATCAAACTTCCTTACCTTCCTATATGGGAAATATATCGTGCAATATATACGAAACGCTTGAAAATAGTGAATAACTGAAGTCCCTACAACCCCCTCTCTGTCGTTTCCTTCCTTTGCTGAGGGTTAGAGATATGATAGATCAGTCCCTTGATGGTAACACTGCTACACTCCACTGCACCACGTTCCAACCCCCCCCCCCCCCCCGCCTACGCCACAGCCGTGGGGTGTCCCTTATCTCGCTATCTTATTATCATTTTGTTTATTAGTTAGCCTATATTAGTAGTATTTTTTTATTTTTTATGAATAGCGACCCTCCTCTTTATCGTATATAGCGATCCTCATTTCGTTTTATGAATAGCGCCCCTCTTCTTTGATTGTGAATAGCAGTCCCTACGAATAATGGCCCTTTTATCAAATTATTAATATTGGTCCTTATGAATAGCGGTCTTCGTGAATAGCGGGGATTCCCCCTAACAAATCGCCTTCTCGTACTGTATAAGGCGCCAAGGTGAGTTTGGACATCTCGCCTCCCCTCTTTCTCGTCCAAAACAATACGACTTGGTGAGTTTGGAAAAACGCCTTCTCACCATTTCATACCTGAGAAGTCAAGAAGACGAGATTTTTAATCTCACTTTTTTACCTTCTTGTACCTGAGAAGTCGAGATGACGAGATTTGGTATCTCGCCTTCATAACTTCTCGTACCCGAGAAGTCGAGAAGACGAGATTTGGAATCTCGCCTTTTCACCTTCTCGTACCCAAGAAGTCGAGAAGACGAGATTTGGAATCTCGCGCCATCTTCGGCCGGCAGTAAGTAAGTAAGTAATGGGAGGTCGCATTGAGTTCGTGTGGTGCATACATAAAGATCAAAATTAAATAGGTCAGATTGGGCACTAACCTGAAAATAGCGTTATATCGATCGATACACAATGAAAGAGAGCCCATTTCATGTTTTGCTACAGCTCAGTAGACAGACAATCCACGAGACACCCAGTATAATTTAATTGATATTACTGTAATATATGATAGATCTCCGTTGATATATAAATCATATAATTTATTTTCATTTCCGACAGCTAGGGTCCCTTTAAGCATAAAATATGGAGATTTTTATGAAGCATAAAACACATATGAAGCAATGACATTTTTGTTAATGTATAAATGTGTATACATATTTATTTATTTTCTGTCGTTTTCAATACATGTGGCGTACGCAGGAATTTTTCGAAGAAGGGGGTTTTAAAATTTAAAAATCACGCCACAAATTTCGCAACGACTCAGCCAGCCACTGAATAAGCGTGGGGGGGGGGGGGGGGGGGGGAGGTTAGAGCACAATTTTGGTTTGGTCCCGGAAATTGGAAAAATGTGGGGGGGGGGGTAAGGTAAGTTTATTTGGTCTCCCTTTAGCATTTTTGTTGTTGTTGTTGTTGTTGTAATTAAAACAAATTTGAAGGTTTATTTATTTTCTCCTAAAAAACACACATATACAAAAATTGAGGGGGAGTGACACCCCCCCCCCTCCCTGCTGCGTACGCGCATGTGTTCAACTCTCTCTACTCTTCGTTGTGTTTTTAGCCATTTGTAGAATGATTGTATATAGGCCATAAGTGAAAGTACAGTAGAATTATTACAATATATGCAAAGAAACGATAAAGTGAATTGGGTTAATAAAAATATAAAAATACATTATGTGCAAAGCTATCTCCATATGCAATATATGATAAGTACATGTACATGTATTTCAATGCTTTAAGGAATTCCAATGCCCTTAACATGTATATCATCAATCATTATGTAAGCAACTATCAACCTTTATTCACACAATTGAAAATGTAATCATGAAACGATCGCAACTACAGTGTGATTCAAATCAAAGTTAACACTTAAAAAAATGCTAATTATTTAAAAAAATTAATTTATGAAAAGTAAATTATTCTACATCTTATGAAAGACTGTACTATCACAAATCATTTGAAATCCTTTTTATGTGGTATGTGGTCACGCTTGAGTGAACAAATCGACTTGCCTATGTGATGTTTGAATAAAACAATTGGGATGTGGGTATTAATTCGGTCGTTGCAGATCCAAATAACATACCTAAAAAATTATCATGCCGCCCATATCAAAACACGTACACAGTCACTATCAGTCACACTATTATTTATTTTTCTATTTTTATTTATTTAATGTGAACATATACCACACACAAATGGTACCAAACGATTGGGGATATAACACTCTTTCAAAACATGTATGATAACATTTCGCTAATAGCTGACTTTTAAAATAAATTACAATTTTCCGAGTAAAAACTTTTGTTTGGCTCACACGGTATATTAACAACAATATTAATTCGAGGGTAATTTCCAAAGCCCGTTGTGCAGAGAAACCACGTTCGGATTACGTAATACTCGTTTTCATGTTCTCAAATTTTATTAGGGTAATCCACAAGGCTTTTGAAATAGCCTTGGGTTGCTTTTTTCGAAAGTTTTTGCGATCGTGTTACATTTTGATTCTGAGTATCAAAAAACTATGACAAACTTATATTAATATTCATAAAAAGATGTTTTGTTCAAGCGTAATCCAAGAGTCTTTGTCCATCTCTAGAACACTCATTACAAAGATTATATTAGATAAGAAAGACCATGGTAAATACCAAGATAAAAAACTGCGTGAGAATGAAAATAACACTCCAAAATGAATAACAAGTCCATTGTTAAAGAGAAAACAATTCAGATATGTGTACATGCATATATACATTAGTAAACAAAAATGTTTGTTTTTTTCCTTTTCTCCAGAGTACAAACCAAAATGTTAAAGTATCGTTTTTAATAAAGTTGATTTTTTTTTTTTTTTTTTTTTTTTTTGGGGGGGGGGGGGGGGGGGCTCTTTGTTCAAGCTTATCCGACTCTATTTTTGGTTCTATTTCTATGAGGGCGCTACTCATTCTATACATGACTATCATGGTTGCCAGCTATATTCACAGCTTGGACAATTAATAAACGCTCGTTCAGACATCATGCGGCACAATCTTTGCGGGCTTTTTACTTATATGATGTAAATTAAGTATAATTTACGCTTCACATTTCCGTAGCTTATAACAAAGAGCTATCTCGAATACACGAAATTCCATTGTTTCCCTAGTTTAGCCAGGAGGGATAAGACCTCCCTGCAAGGTCACTGACAGGTGGTTATCTCATCAAATCAGCTCTCAATTAACATAAGAATAAGGGAATCATGGGGACCAACGGGCACCGCTGAGGCATTAATTGTTTACAGAGTGCGCAAGCAGTGCAGTCCCGCATTGAGAAGGGAATAGGAGATGTGTTGGTCAAGTTACTGAATTAACAGGTACAAGGTGAAAGGTTGTTAGACGCGTTGTCCAATATTGAGCTAGCGAAGTTGTGTTTGCTGCTGGTTCTGTAACTGCTGCAGCTGCTGGAGTTGGTCCATGTTACCGGGTTGTCCCAGGTGATCAATCTCCTCCATAGCAGACATGGTGAACGTGTAGAAAGCCACAAGGAGACCAAGAGAAGTCAAGAAGAAGAGCACCCCACATACCAGACTGCATACAGAAAATCGCTTAGCAGCCCTTGAAGACTGGGTAGCTCCTACGACATCACCAACTAGCCATTTATTACGAACCTGAGCAGGGAGGAAATGTAACAGATACAAAATATATGACGTTATTCTGAATGTTTCGGTACCTGGTAGGATTTTATTTTTTATTTTTTTAATTTGGCAGAAAACATATGATATCAAAATACATAGTTGAAAATATTTAATTAATACCAAATCACAACAAAATACATGAACACTGGATGCACCCGGCTGTGCTGCCAGGCCTTGGGCAAAGTTAACCAATATAGTTTGCAGACCGCCCTCACCTATATCCTAACCAGATGCAACCAGTGTTGGATATTTATGTGACAAGGACAATATAAGAGATACATGTCCCGCATTCAAATAATTTAAATGCATCAAGAAAAAGCCTTCAAATTTCCCCAGGGTTGCATCACACGCCGGAGACTCATGACCACACCAACAGAAAAAGTGGCACAATATAATTATTAGGGACAATTTTATATCCGGAGTGTGATTCAACCCTAAAAAAACATATAGACATATGCATGTATTGAGATTTGTGAAACATATCCTAGACACGATATTACCACTTTACTTTCATTTTATTAGCGATATATTACTTTTATTTCTACACAATGCTTACTAAATATCCTAGTCTAAAAGTAAACCTCAGAAGTTACCTTGAATAAAGTAGCATAAATATGTTGTAAGCATTATTATTATGAATAGATGTAAAAGTACTAATAAAATTACTGGCAGTAAAAGTAAAAGCAGTATTAGAGGTGAAACAATAACTAATAATAGTGCAAGTATTTGTTATAGTACTAGTAGTAGTGTGAGTAGTAGTAGTGGTATTAATAGTAGTATTAATAGTATTAGTAGTAGTAGTAGTAGTAGTAGTAGTAGTAGAAGAAGTAGTAGTGATGGTAGAAGTGGTAGAAGTAAAACTGCTAGTTGCAGTAGTGGTAGTCGTAATAGTGGTGGTAGCAGTGGTAGTATTAATACTAGTAGAACTAGAAGTAATATCAGTAATAGAAGTGGTGGTAGCAATAGTAGAGCTTCAGTAGGAGAAGAAGTATAGGAGTAGATTAGTAGTAGTAGTAGCAGTAGTAGTAGTAGTAGTAGTAATAGTGGTAGTGTAACTACTGGCAGTAGTGACACCAGTATTACTAGTAGTGGTATCAGATATAGTGGTGGTGGTAATCATAGTAATAGTAGTAGAAGAAGTAGTATAGAAGAAGTATACATAATAGCAATAGAAGTATTAGTAGTAGCAGTAGTAATAATTATGGTGGTGGTAAAAGTAGTATGAGTAGTACAACCTATGTAGAAGAAAAAGTATAATAGTATACTAAATATATAAAGAGTTGAAAAAGAAGTAGTGGTAGTAGTAGTAGTAGTAATAGTGATAGTAGTAGTAGTAGTAGTAGGAGGAGGAGAAGTAGTATAGTAACAGTAACAATAATAATAGTAGTAGTAGGAGTTGTAGTAGTAGTTGTAGTAGTAGTAGTAGTAGTAGTAGTAGTAGCAGCAGCAGTAGTAGTAATAGTGGTAGCAGTAGTAGTAGTAGTAAATAAAAGTGGTGGTGGTGGTAGTTATAGTATTATTATTAGTATTAGTAGTAGTAGTAGTGGTGGTAGTAGAAGTAGTAGAAGTAGCATAGCAGTATTTAAAAAAAATAGAAGTAGTAGTATTGCGATGATATTTCTACCACCCAATTATACTGCTACTAGTACGACTACTACTACTAGGAGCAACAGCAGAAGCAGCAGTGCTAGTAATAGTTAGTATTGTAGTAGTTGAGTAGTAGTAGTAGTAGTAGTAGTAGTAGTAGTAGTAGCGGTAGTAATAGTGGTGATGGTGGTAACAGTAGTAGTAGTAGTAGTAGTAGTAGTAGTAGTAGTAGTAGTAGTAGTATTAGTGGTGGTACTAGTAGTAGTATAATAAATTTGTCGAAATTCTGTCGAATCAAAATCTGTTTTACATCCTGGTCCTGAATATAATTAAAATGTAATACACGGAAATCATCAAAGCTCACAAGCAAAGGTAAACACAGTATAACACTAATATATAGGAATAAAACGCATTAGAAGTAGTAAAAAGCAACAAAAAAGACAATGTAATCATTTAAATTAGCAGCGGAAAACATCAAATCACTTAAAAGGAATTTAAAAATCAGCAAATACATTATAAAAGGAGAAAAGAAATAAGAAAATTGGGAGAGATATAGATAAATAAGCCATGTCAAAAACCATTTATGAATAGACATTGTATCACACAGTTGTAAACAAAATTGTCCGTGTACATATGTTTAAAGTCATTTATATATTTAGCATTTTGGAGAGCAAAGGGTAAACTATTTCAGATTTTACCACCAGCGTATCTAAAACAATTCATAAAAATTCAAGACTAGGCTTGGGTAAAACATCTTCCAACGTATTGGCAAGTCTAGTGTTAAAACCATGTCTGTCAAAAACCATTTCTACTTCATTGCACAATCCTACCGGGACTTTTTCATGAATACAGTTGTACATAATACATGCTAAAAATAGTCACGTCTAGTATCAATGGATTGCCATTTCAATGAATTCATCATATTCATACTATTAACATCATAATCAAAATTTCCTACAAAAATACGTGAAGCTCCTTTCTTTAGTTTTGAACGTTTTTGTCTGATTTGTAAAGAACAGTTCCCCCATCCGGAACAAGAAGAATCAAAGATTTCCTGTGTGGTACATTTGTACATGTTATTCAACATGGAAGAGCTTAGAAACTAACTGAGCGTTCGTAAAGTTAAATTATTATAACTTAACGATTTGCTAAGAGATTATAAAGGTATTACAACATTTCGGTATAGGGTCATGAATTTGGTTCAAATGAACATATTAAAAACATATGCGATCCTACAATATTCAGTGATCGTTGTCGCGGTTGAAATCGAGACTAAAGTGATGAAATTGTACATAATAAACTCTTTTAAAAGTAAAGGAGGTGTACATTATCATTATTATTAATAGTAGTAGTATTAGTAGTAGAAGCAGTAGTAGAAGTTGTAGTACTATTAGTGGTAGCAGGTATAGTGGTGGTGGTACTCATAGTAATAGTAGTAGAAGAAGTAGTATAGAAAAAGTATACATAATAACAGTATAAGTATTAGAAGTAGCAGTCGTAGTAATATTGGCGGTGGTAATATTAGTAGTAGGAGAAGAAGTAATATAGTAAGAGTAAAAATAGTAGTAGTATTAGTAATAGTAGTAGTAATAGTAGTACTAATAGTAGTGGTGGTAGTAAAAGTAGTAGTAGTAGTAGTAGTAGTAGTGGTAGTTGTTGTAGTAGTAGTAGTACGAATAGTAGTGATGGTGGTTTTGGTGGTAGTAGTAGTAGTAGTAGTAGTAGTAGTATCAGTAGTAGTAATAGTGGTAGTGTTACTACTGGCAGTAGTGACACCAGTAGTACTAGTAGTGGTATCAGTAATAGTGGTGATGGTAATCATAGTAATAGTAGTAGAAGAAGTAGTATAGAAGAAGTATACATAATAGCATTATAAGTATTAGTAGTAGCAGTCGTAGTAATATTGTTGGTGGTAATATTAGTAGAAGAATTTATATAGTAAGAGTAGAAATAATAGTAGTAGTAGTAGTAGTAGTAGCAGCAGCAGTAGTAGTAATAGTGGTAGCAGTAGTAGTAGTAGTAAATAAAAGTGGTGGTGGTGGTGGTAGTTATAGTATTATTATTAGTATTAGTAGTAGTAGTAGTAGTGGTGGTAGTAGAAGTAGTAGAAGTAGCATAGCAGTATTTAAAAAAAATAGAAGTAGTAGTATTGCGATGATATTTCTACCACCCAATTCTACTGCTACTAGTACGACTACTATTACTAGGAGCAACAGCAGAAGCAGCAGTGCTAGTAATAGTTAGTATAGTAGTAGTTGAGTAGTAGTAGTAGTAGTAGTAGTAGTAGTAGCGGTAGTAATAGTGGTGATGGTGGTAACAGTAGTAGTAGTAGTAGTAGTAGTAGTAGTAGTAGTAGTATTAGTGGTGGTACTAGTAGTAGTATAATAAATTTGTCGAATTTCTGTCGAATCAAAATCTGTTTTACATCCTGGTCCTGAATATAATTAAAATGTAATACACGGAAATCATCAAAGCTCACAAGCAAAGGTAAACACAGTATAACACTAATATATAGGAATAAAACGCATTAGAAGTAGTAAAAAGCAACAAAAAAGACAATGTAATCATTTAAATTAGCAGCGGAAAACATCAAATCACTTAAAAGGAATTAAAAAATCAGCAAATACATTATAAAAGGAGAAAAGAAATAAGAAAATTGGGAGAGATATAGATAAATAAGCCATGTCAAAAACCATTTATGAATAGACATTGTATCACACAGTTGTAAACAAAATTGTCCGTGTACATATGTTTAAAGTCATTTATATATTTAGCATTTTGGAGAGCAAAGGGTAAACTATTTCAGATTTTACCACCAGCGTATCTAAAACAATTCATAAAAATTCAAGACTAGGCTTGGGTAAAACATCTTCCAACGTATTGGCAAGTCTAGTGTTAAAACCATGTCTGTCAAAAACCATTTCTACTTCATTGCACAATCCTACCGGGACTTTTTCATGAATACAGTTGTACATAATACATGCTAAAAATAGTCACGTCTAGTATCAATGGATTGCCATTTCAATGAATTCATCATATTCATACTATTAACATCATAGTCAAAATTTCCTACAAAAATACGTGAAGCTCCTTTCTTTAGTTTTGAACGTTTTTGTCTGATTTGTAAAGAACAGTTCCCCCATCCGGAACAAGAAGAATCAAAGATTTCCTGTGTGGTACATTTGTACATGTTATTCAACATGGAAGAGCTTAGAAACTAACTGAGCGTTCGTAAAGTTAAATTATTATAACTTAACGATTTGCTAAGAGATTATAAAGGTATTACAACATTTCGGTATAGGGTCATGAATTTGGTTCAAATGAACATATTAAAAACATATGCGATCCTACAATATTCAGTGATCGTTGTCGCGGTTGAAATCGAGACTAAAGTGATGAAATTGTACATAATAAACTCTTTTAAAAGTAAAGGAGGTGTACATTATCATTATTATTAATAGTAGTAGTATTAGTAGTAGAAGCAGTAGTAGAAGTTGTAGTACTATTAGTGGTAGCAGGTATAGTGGTGGTGGTACTCATAGTAATAGTAGTAGAAGAAGTAGTATAGAAAAAGTATACATAATAACAGTATAAGTATTAGAAGTAGCAGTCGTAGTAATATTGGCGGTGGTAATATTAGTAGTAGGAGAAGAAGTAATATAGTAAGAGTAAAAATAGTAGTAGTATTAGTAATAGTAGTAGTAATAGTAGTACTAATAGTAGTGGTGGTAGTAAAAGTAGTAGTAGTAGTAGTAGTAGTAGTGGTAGTTGTTGTAGTAGTAGTAGTACGAATAGTAGTGATGGTGGTTTTGGTGGTAGTAGTAGTAGTAGTAGTAGTAGTATCAGTAGTAGTAATAGTGGTAGTGTTACTACTGGCAGTAGTGACACCAGTAGTACTAGTAGTGGTATCAGTAATAGTGGTGATGGTAATCATAGTAATAGTAGTAGAAGAAGTAGTATAGAAGAAGTATACATAATAGCATTATAAGTATTAGTAGTAGCAGTCGTAGTAATATTGGTGGTGGTAATATTAGTAGAAGAATTTATATAGTAAGAGTAGAAATAATAGTAGTAGTAGTAGTAGTAGTAGTAGTGGTAGTAGTAGTAATAGTAGTACGAATAGTGGTGATGGTAGTAAAAGCAGCAGCAGTAGTAGTAGTAGTAGTAGTAGTAGTTATTGTTGTTGTAGTAGTAGTACGAATATTAGTGATGGTGGTGTTGGTGGTAGTGGTAGTAGTAGTAGTGGTAGTAGTAGTAGTAGCAGTAGTAGTAATAGTGGTAGTGTAACTACTGGCAGTAGTGACACCAGAAGTACTAGTAGTGGTATCAGTTATAGTGGTGACGGTAATCATAGTCATAGTAGTAGAAGAAGTAGTATAGAATAAGTATACATAATAACAGTATAAGTATTAGTAGTAGCAGTCGTAGTAATATTGGTGGTGGTAATATTAGTAGTAGAAGTTATATAGTAAGAGTAGAAATAGTAGTAGTAGTAGTAGTAGTAGTGGTAGTAGTAGTACTAGTAGTACTAATAGTGGTGGTGGTAGTAAAAGCAGCAGCAGTAGTAGTAGTAGTAGTAGTAGTAGTAGTAGTAGTAGTAGTTGTAGTAGTAGTAGTAGTAGTAGTAGTAGTAGTAGTAGTAGTAGTAGTAGTGCGAATAGTAGTGATGGTGGTGTAGGTGGTAGTGGTAGTAGTAGTAGTGGTAGTAGTAGTAGTAGTAGTAGTAGTAGCAACAGTAGTAGTAAAAGTGGTAGTGTAACTACTGGTAGTAGTGACACTGGTAGTACTAGTAGTGGTATCAGTTATAGTGGTGACGGTTATCATAGTAATAGTAGTAGAAGAAGTAACATAGAAGAAGTATACATAATAACAGAATAAGTATTAGTAGTAGCAGTCATAGTAATATTGGTGGTGGTAATATTAGAAGGAAGAAGTTATATAGTAAGAGTAGAAATAGTAGTAGTAGTAGTAGTAGTAGGGGTAGTAGTAGTACTAGTAGTACTTATAGTGGTGGTGGTAGTAAAAGCAGCAGCAGTAGTAGTAGTAGTAGTTGTTGTCGTAGTAGTAGTACGAATAGTAGTAATGGTGGTGTTGGTGGTAGTGGTAGTAGTAGTAGTATCAGTTGAAAAAATAGCGGTAGTGTAACTACTGGCAGTAGTGACACCAGTAGTACTAGTAGTGGTTTCAGTTATAGTGGTGGTGGTAACCATAGTAATAGTAGTAGAAGAATTAGATTAATAGAAGTATACATAATATCAATATAAGTATAAGTAGTAGCAGTAGTAATACTTATGGTGGTGGTAATAGTAGTATAAGTAGTAGAACCTATGTAGAAGAAGTATAATAGTAGAATAAATATAGAAGGAGTAGAAATAGAAGTAGTAGTAGTAGTAGTAGTAGTAGTAGTAATAGTGGTGGTTGTGATAGTAGTATTAGTATTAGTAGGATAAGTAGTATAGTAACAGTAAATATAACAATAATAGTAGTAGTGGGAGTTGTAGTAGTATTTTTAATAGTAGTAGTAGTAGTAGTAGTAGTAGTAGTAGTAGTAGTAGTAGTAGTAGGAGAAGTAGTCAGGCGCGTACGCAGTTTGGGGGGGGGGTGTAGGGTTTTGGGGTTAATTTAATAATCAGCAAATACATTATAAGAGGAGGAAAGAAATGAGAAAATTGGGAGAGATATAGATAAATAAGCCATGTCAAAAATATGAATAGGCATTGTATCACACAGGTTTGAATAAATTGTCCTTGTACATACGTTTAAAGTCATCGATATATTTAGCATTTTGAAGAGCAAAAGGTAAACTATTTCAGATTTTACCACCAGCGTATCTAAAACAATTTATACAACATTCAAGACTAGGCTTGGGTAAAACATCTTCCAACGCATTGGCAAGTCTAGTGTTAAAACCATGTCTGTCAAAAACCATTTCTACTTTATTGCACAATCCTACCGGGACTTTTTCATGAATACAGTTATACATAACACATGCTAAAAATAGTCACGTCTACTATCAATGGATTGCCATTTCAATGAATTCATCATATTCAAGCTATTATTAAACATCATGGTCAAAATTTCGTCCAACAATACGTGATGCTCTTTTCTTTAGTTTTGAACGAATTTGTCTGGTTTGTAAAGAACAGTTCCCCCATCCGGAACAAGAAGAATCAAAGATTTCCTGTGTGGTACATTTGTTCATGTTATTCAAAATGGAAGAGCTTAGAAACTAACTGAGCGTTCGTAAAGTAAAATTCTTATAACTTAACGATTTGCTAAGAGATTTAAAGGTATTACAACATTTCGGTATAGGGTCATGAATTTGGTTCATGTTATAGCCCATTAATGTTGAAAGCCCAAAATAATATATGATCAATTTCAATCCCTAAATATCTGATAATTCTCACTTGTTCTACAATTTCATTATCAATATGCACTTTCAAACTAAATGTATTGAATTCGTGTGTTACTACTCATCAGATAACATTACTCTTATTAGTATTAATACGTAATCTATTTTCACAATACTATTCATGTATAGCATATAGATCTGCTTGGAGCTTAGATGTAATGATATTAATATCCATATCAGAAACATGTAAGACAATATAATCAGCTTATATATTACATGTATTTAACCGTAAATAATCAGTTATATCATTTATTAAAACAAGAAAGAGGGAGGGGCCTACAAAAATTTTCCCAGAGGAATTCCGATAGTAATGTCCTTTGTTTCAGATAGTTTACCATGACAATAAACTGCTTGTTTCCTATTAAATAAAAAACTAGAAAACCATTTACGTTCAGTATCTAAAATCTTAAATACTTATTCATTTTGTGCATCAAAAGTTCATGGTCAATACAATCAAAACATTTAGATTAATGAGGAAAACATGCACCAATATTTTCCTTTTCATTTAAAGATTCCTACCAATCATCAATCTCTATGTTGGCATGAATTAGTTGAATTATTTGGCAAAAAAGCATATTATCAACACTTATAAGATGATTGGTCCGTAATTAATAGTCTTTAGTAGTAGGAGTAGTAGTAGTAGTAGTAGTAGTATAATCTGTAGTAGCAGTAGTAGTAATACTTGTACATATAGTTGAAATAGTGGTAGCAGTGGTAGTAGAGGCATCAGTAATATTATAAGCAACAGCATAATCAGCAGTGCCAGTAATAGTAGTAGTAGTAGTAGTAGAATAATTGGTAGTGGAAGTAATAACGGCAGTAGCAATAACAGTACATGCATTCATTCTATACAACCTACATGTACCCTCTTCCATTGATATATCTTAACATTGGTATATTCAAAGTATTTTATATCCCTTTAGAACAGGGTTTCTTTTTAAAGGGCTAAATTGATCACATTTTCCCCTGAAATATGGCAACGATAATATTTGTTTCTTTGCAGTTGCTCTAAAAGAAGGTGTCTAATCACTTCTTAATTCAAGAAAAAAGGAAACAATATATTACTTTTCATTAAATATCAAACTAAATATTATTTGAGAAAAGAAAAGAAAATATTTGTCAGAATATTGACATAAACATATGCAGAAGAAATGTCTCTGAAAACAGTTTTTATACGTAAGGTTAATTTTTTTGTTGAAAATGCATTGTATCAAACATAAAATAGTCATGCAACACAAATGTACGCATGAGGCGCATACCCCAACCCCATCCCCGCCCTTTCTACTTAATATATTTCTGGTATAATTCTAGGGCTCAGAATCAAAAGCAATTTAAAGATAAAGGTGAGTTCTGGTAACGCGATTGCATTGTGAAAGAAAAGTTGTGGAATGAATCAGAAAAAAGTTGATTATGTAGCATGTAAGTATTGTTATGTACTGTAAGTCCGTAAGGTTCTGGAGTCATCAAATTCATAACAAATTTGGCTCGGTCTTGGTAAAGTAACAGGCACACTACACAGAAAGATGTATATGGGACAACACAAATGGTGTCGGGGCTAGTACTACTTGATTTCCTTATCTTTCTATGCTCATTACTCAGCCAGTATACATTTTCTTCCAAAATTGGTTGGCACATGACATTTATTTGTAATCTTGAACATTCAGTGTAAGTTTCGTTAGATTCTGTGAGACTTGATTTTCTTTTTTTAACCAGAACTCAAGTGATATGTTGGTAGTATGAACTTACATCAACAGATTTCGCAATGGCTGCAATGCCAAACACTGTACTGCAGAATACAGCCGTGAGGATAGCAAATAGAAGATGGTCATCCGGTTGCTGGCCATACCGTGCCTGCCCAATACCCTGAGCTTGTGGTACCTATAAGTATGACATGTAAAGCAGATAGTATGTTTATTGGTTCTTGTTTGATTGGGGTGTATTGCATGATCGATCATTATACCGATGCTGCTGATGATAATGATGATGTTAAATAATAGTAATTAAAATGCTAAAAATGCTAATGATACTACTAATAATGATGACGATGAACAATTATTATAATAACAAAATAATGATAATAATAATCAAAATGATAATGAAAATGCGTCTACGTGCTTTAAAGTCATTCTGGACGCCCTTCAACGAGATGGAAGGACTAATTTCGGTGTGATGTGGAATTACCCACACAAGAGGCAAAGCAACAATCTCAGGACAGATCAGAATGGAGCATGATTTCTCGTAGGGGAGCAAGGGGAAGCACCTTCGCCAGTCAAAGTAAATACAAAGGATAATAACATATTGGTTTTAATATCAATTATAAAAATAATGTTAATGTTAATAATAATATTATTAATACAAATATAAATAATAAATATGACAATACTAACAATAGAGATTATAATAATGTAGATAATAGTAATAATGATTATAATTATGATAGTTATAGAGAAAAACAATACAATAACAACAAAAACAACAACTATTTCTCATACTTACCCAGGGTAGCCTCATCAGTATCAACTTAAACGTAATTAGTGTTAATCTTAATCATGATTTGATAGGCCTATTCGTTTTTGGGGGTAATGCCATTTTTTTTCTTCTTCATGTTTTCTTACAATTATACTTAAATTATAATTCTTGTATAACTTGTTATATTTCTGGTATTCATATCCCCCAAAAACATCCAAAATTAACAAAGACAATTCATCTCACCTTATTAAAGATTTGGTCTGTATCTGAGTCATCTAAGAATGCCTGTCCACTCTCCAGGTCATGACCCTTCTCCAGTTTCTTGTACTGAGCTGTCAATGAGTATGTTCATAGCGAAATTATGTTTAAGATGATACAGAAAAACGTTCATAGGTGAGATAAATTAATAACATGTAGTTCAACATTCTGGTAATTCCCAGCCCTGCATGGAGTTAAGATCTTCTTGTAGTTGTTTGCATCATGTTGGGAGCGATAGAGGGGACACGCAGTAACCTGCAAACAGTCTGGTTCTTGATTTTACAACATTTTCCTCGGGATCTATCCGCTGGCGCGTATGAAGCAAAGATGACATTCGCCGAACTATGCAGAAATCATGAAAATACAGCGCGTATTTTGTTAAATGTCTACATGAAAGATTCCGACGAATACATGTAAGCCAAAATATCGTAAAGGCTAATTTATTCTACAAAGAAAATGATTATTTACCTGTCATAGTTTTCGAATACGAACTACGAAACTTAATTTCGATCGTCG